TTAAATGGACAAATAATTACGGGCATACAATTTTACTTTGACGTTCACAGTTATTCTTGCCCGTTAACTTTAAGTTGTTCTTTTAAAAAGGATAATGTTGAAAAAATTTGCCAGGAAAATACTCGATATGCCTTATTTTGTTAAACAGCTATTAAAACAGAAAATTGTGAAACGATTCCAAAACAGTGCCATTTTTAGAATCATCATCTCAAAACTTGTTCTTTTTTTTAACATTAGGTTTTTTCTACTTAAATAACCTATAATTATAGTTTTAATGCATGTTTTAAAGAAATTATGAATACAAATTGTGATCTAATATTTCATAAGGAAAGAAGAAGAAGAATGATTCATTGATAGTTGTTTGATTGATCCGGAGAAGTTAATTTTTTTCGGAATGATCGGCCTTGCAACTTTGATTCTTTGGATGAGGGGTCATTTCATGCATGTCATTCGACTTTAAAATTTCAAATATAAAATGCAAAAATTACAAGAATGCATAAGCTGGCTTTAACTAATAATAAAAAGAAGGACAAAATCTTCGACAAAAGAAGTTGGTTCATAAGAATATCAGAGTTAAAAAAGTAGTGTAAAAACTGTAAAAATTGTTACTCTTGTTTAATTAGGGGTATTATAAACCTATATTTTCCTTTCTTTTAATTTTTTAAATTATACTTTTTAATAAACTAACGAAATGAGTGTGTAAATAATATCCATTCCTTTTACTGCAAACCAAGTTTACTTAATATCATTGGCAAATCTTATGAAGTGCAAATTCTTGAGTCCCCATGTAGGGTAGTAGGATATTTTATGTATGATTGGTAGTTTCAAGAGTGGACTCTTATATTAGGTAGGTAACTTCTTTAGAAATTCTAATTTGAAAAATTACTTGATATTTTACAAATGTTACAAGGGATGTGTATTTTTTTTAAATGGTTATTTATATAATTTTCCCATTGACCATCAGTTTTCCCTTAATGAAGCAAAAACCTTGATCCTGGTATGCAGCAAAAAACTAAGTCATTATGAATTATTATCATTTAACCTTTTTTTAATTCTTTAACCTTGCTACTTAAACACTATGATCCGCCGCAATATGTTTTTGCTTGAGTCAAAATTTTGAAATTTTTTTTTACAATTAACATACATCATAGTTAAAGAAATTAACATTTTAAAAGATTTGAAATAATTTTTTCAAAGAGCGCATCTGTAACAATACTTTGGCAAATTATAAAAAAATAACTTAGCACAATTTATGAGTTAATTTATCCACTACATAGCCCCCCCCCCAATTCCCGCAATTTAGAATTCCATGTCAAAATTTATGAGTTTTTGAAATAAGACCAATTGAAATAAAAGAGCTGATAAGAAAAGATGCATAACACTGAATAAATTATTCACATTAAATAATCAAAATATAAATTTACAAAACATTTATTTGTTTTATATAATTTTTAAATTTAAAAAATGAGAAGTTTTATGGCATTTAGCTAATTTATGTTTTACAATATTTGTAATGTTCAAAATGCTCAAAGGGTATCCACTTAAATCCTATCGGAAGAAATTCAAACATTTTGACTCTATTCACAGTTTTCTATTAATTAAGCCAAAGATTATTTAACTAATGTAATGTAGTTTAACCAATGCATAAACGTTGGAAATCGTTAAGTGTAGTGGGTGGTCAAGAAGGGAGGCCAAAACTGGGGAAATATTTTGTCTCATGTATTAAATGCTTTTTTCAATTCGTCACTTTCTATTAAGTTTATTTCTAGTTACAAACAGAATGTATAAATTCGGTTATTATTTATAAGCACAGAATGAATTCCTTATTATAGGTACAATTGTACAACCCATCAAAGGTTTTAAGAATCAAATTAGTTTTAGGCAAACTATGAAATAATATTACAGACTCAATGAACTTCTTTTTTAGAAATAAATCTCAATCTCAAATATATTTTAACATAAAATTACTAAAAAAATGTCCTTCAAAGACTTAATAACGCAAATAGTTTTGAGATATAGTTTAGTTTTTTTTTTACAATGATACATAAAAAATCCAGATTTAAAAATAAAATCAGATGCTGATTACAACTTTATAACTTAAGCGATAAGGAATTTATTTTGAATTATATACCTCTCAATTATAAACTTTCAACTTAAAAATACAAATAATTTACCTCAAACAACATCTTTTAGCAGTATAATAAGATATATTCAATATCTGACTAATTTAATACAACTGCAAAATGCAACGAAAAACTCCAAGTAAAGTTTACTTTGTAATTTGCTAGAGACCTCAGGGCACTGACGCCAACTCTTGCTCTGAATTTCCATTTTTTCAAAGATTTGAAACTTTTTTTTTTCTTTCATCTGAATTTTCATTTAGAAAAATTAAGTTTTTATGCTTGTAGTAGCAAACATCCGTATTTTAATATTTTTAAAAGACTTGCATGCCCTTAATAGATAAGAAAACTGTGGTATCAGTATCGTAATTGTAAAGTTATCGTTAAAATTAAAATTTTGAAACCCAATATTTCGTGACCACAAATTTACAAATTTTTGAAATTAAATATGGAATGTTGTGGTGAATATAAGACTAATAAAATACATCTTCTTAGTTTTGCTGCTACATTTTTAATTTCGTAAGGACCTCCTCTTAAAATGAGGCTATTGTATCAAATGTTGGTAGTGAGGGTGAGAATCATAAAATAAGTTTGCAAATAAAGAAATAAAACAAAGAAGCTTTTTTTAGCCATATTTGGTGATAAAAAAGTAACTGATCGCAAACAAAGGGTTTAATGGAAGGACATGTTTGCAACAGTCAGTTTCAGATACGGTTGCTTTTTGCAAATCATGCTTATTCAAGAAAAACATGCAACTTAAATATTTGTCAGAATGAAATGACCCTTTATAATAAAAATACAATATATATATATACAGTAGAGCGCCGATTATCCGAACTGCTCGGGACTGAACGTGGTTCGGTTAATGAAAAATTCGGATAATTGGAAAGTTGCTTTAAATCGAGTTTAATGATTATTATTCATGCCCTAACTTCCCTTCACACTTTTTCCAGGTTTAGGACTGGCAGTACTATCTAAAATAGCTTTGTTTAAAAGTTNATCTAAATTAGATTTGCTTAAAAGTTTTTTTTTAATTTTTAAATATTTTTAATTTATTTTTTTTACTTTTTTTTCATCTTGAACTTTTTTTTAATCATATTTCAGCTAACTTTTTTTTTTTTGTCAATTACTGATTTTAACACATTTTACTATATTTTCCATTGCAAAAGAAATCCAGCCAAGACTTTCGTTTCAAAGAAGATGCTCTTTTTTTGAGCAGCCATAATTCTTTTTAAATAAATCAACTGAACTGGATCAATATCATTTTGACGTTGTAACTAATTTATTGCAATATCTAATGAATTGAATGCTTCTATATGAGAAGGTCCACTATCTTGAACTTGATCACCTACTTCTTCCTCTTCATCTGAGGAGTTCCAATTTTCTTTCAAAATTTCAGCAACAATTTCATCATCTAACTTTAAATCCTGGGACATTTTCAGTGTTTCGACACCAGTATTCTATTTTTCTATTTCTTCTGCTGCATAACCTGGCATCTTTTCAGCCGGAAGATCTAATGGTTTAGAAATTTAGAAAAATTTTTGATAAGTTGAAAAGTATTCTAAACTTCAAAAAAAAAAAAAAAAAAAATTCAGACATAGTTCGGATAATTGGACGTTCGGATAATAAGGGTTCGGATAAACGGCGCTCTACTGTATATATATATACAGTCAGACCTCGATATAAAGTCATCCGCATATAAGGTCACCCCGCATATAAGGTCACTTTTCCAAAATCCCGGCTCACTGAATAGAAATTCTTTGTTACAAATTATTGGATATATGGTCAAGTTTTAAAAATCGTTATCGCTTAAGGTCATTTTTATCTCAGGTGAGGGGAGTTCTTTTTTAACAAAAGCCTATTTAACTTCCTTACAAGGCCATTACCCTTCTCGAGTTCTAGGAAAATGTTGCAGCCAACAAACGAGCTACAATTTCTGAAATTGTTTCACACGTTTTGGACAATGAGGACAATGACAGTGATCCTGAAACTGTTTAAAATACCTCTTAACATTTACCAAATTTTTCAATTTTATCGAAAAGAAATATTGTGAATTTTACAAGACCTTGTGATTGTGCATCAGAATTGCTATATTTTTCGGGCCCTCTAAATTTTTTTCTTTTTTCTTTTTCTTTTCCTAACCAATGAGACTCGAACTGAGGTGTAAAAGCAATTAGCCCTACAACTCTTCATAAACTTATAATATCTTACGTAAATTTGATTTTAGTACAAAATTTTCATACAATTGGGTTTAAAACAACTTTAATAAAAAATTAATGTCAGAAAAAAAGTTAAACATTGAGATTCTAAAATTTTGGAAAATCATAAATAGTTTATTAATCGTTTCAAATTTTATTTTTAAAAGAGATTTAAAAAAACAATCTGCTTCCTTTTCCTAGAAAGCAGCCTCAAAAATTCTTTTCTTGGTTGCTTAGCAACGGAGAAACACAATGTTTTGTCGTCTTGTCATTCATTCAGTTTCTTTATGGTTGTTTTCAATTGTTTCACCCTCTATGGAGAGGTAATTTTGCATTTTTTAAAACTTTTGCCATACATATAGATCTTTATTGCAACCCAATTTTTTGGAAATTTTGTCTACCCTCCCCCCCCCCTATTTCAAGGGTCAGAAAATATATATTTATTTACTTATTCAGAGAAAGTATGTTTTTGTACCTGATTTTGTAACTTAATTAATAGTTAGCACTAATTAATGAGCATATTTAAGGTCCCCCCAGGAACCATTAAGAATGACACTTAGTTCATGAAAATTCGATCATTAGGATTAAAGTTATTCAGGGTGATATCTTATTTCCTTTTTGACGACTGAACATTTAAAATAAATGTTTACCTACTGTAAATTTCAAAATGTACACTACTTACCTAAGTAACCGTATTTCACGATTGCTCAGAACAACTTGTTTTGTATGAGCAGAATTCAGCTTCTGTTTCAGATCTAAAACTTCCATATCAATTTTTCTCTGTTTTTTAGAAGATTTAACTTCATCTGGACGAATGTAAGTCATAATTTGTTCATAACAAAGATCTTCTAGCATAGGAAGTGAATCGGATCTCAACAAACTAAAAATGTAATAAAGTTAAATAAGAAATTATTGTGAAATGAAGTTACAAAGATGTATGAAAAGCCACTCAGTATACAAAATTAGATTACTATATTGGGTAGTATTTTATTTACAATATATTAATTACTTATTATGTTTACATTTATAATGTAATATATTAACTTATTTATTATAAAGATGGACTAAGTTAGACTTTAAGTTAGACCTTTAAAGGTTCCAATTTTGGGCATTGACACCTCCATCCCATTGGGGCATGAAAGACTTTGAGAGGGGAACTAGCAAGAAAACAGGTGTTTGAAAGATGCTTAGGATTTCTAGAGGGAATTGAATATGCAATTAAAATTCATAAATTTTTTGATTGGATACCAAAGAATAATTTACAATTCAAACAATGCTTATATTAGCTTTTAAAGCAGTTATGTAATTAAAATTGTTTGCTATACTTCTTTTTAGTTAAAAAGTACAACAAACGATTTTGATTACATTAAAAAAAAATTAGTAAAAAATTTTTCTTAACAACAAAAAGATAATGTTGTGATATCCACTTCGCATTTTAACATTGAACAAACTATGATTTTTGGATGAATTTGAAATTTTTGTGCTACTGTCACTTTCCTAAATTTTGTTTAACAAGTTGATCTATTGTTCAACCGTTTAACTACTGATGTTTAAAAACTGGAACAAAGACTTTGAGTTTGAATTTAATGAGAAATTAAAGTCTGAATAATATTGCTTTTCATTGACTTAAAATTTATATTATGAAGTATTTTTTACATTTAGTTAAGTTCCGTTTCCACAATTATTTGATTTTTATGAACTTTTGAAATTTGGTGTAATTTGTAAATTTTTCGCCAGGGTGTAATAAATATAATTTACTACAAATCGAAATATAGCTCTGTTATACACAAAATTCAAAATTTCAATTTAAAATCAAAATATTAATTTAAACCTAAATATTTCATTTTTTTTTTAACATTGGCATTTCTAGGGTTGTATTTTTAGATATCAAGTAATTCATGAAGTTATGTAGAGTACATTTTATTCAATTGGTATTCTGACACTTATTCAAGGTAAATAATAGTGTTCCAATAGAAAAGGGGGATGAATGTGTCTAGGTCAACTTTTTTTGATCGGAAACATGAATTTGCAGGTGGTTGATAATAGAATAATAGTGACAGATTTTATACTTCAAAAGAACTGCAAGATATGCACTCATTCATGCTCAGATTTTTTTTTTTTAAAAACCATTTAATTTTATCAAACTATTTATTTTTTCAATCTGTTCCCAACAATGGTATTAAAAGAGATTCTTACCATTGATAGTTTTCCTTCCTGATTCTTGTGGTTCATAAAAATTTGTTGTTACAGAATGAGTTAAAGAGAATCATGCCATTTTCTTGTCTCATTTACAAATTTTGCTTTCCCAAGTCTAAGAGATGCATAACAATCCATAAATAATGACATTATTAGAAACATTCTATGATTCAGATTTAGAAGATGTAGATATCTGCCTGTTAGAGCCTGCGATGCCACAATAGGCATTACATATTTCCTAGCCTTTAAAATTTCTTTCATTTCTTAAAACTAATTTTTTTAATCATTATTAATTGAATTAGAATTAAAATAAATCAATCAGTTCATTTTTATAAAAAACGAACATAAAATATTCTATTCTCTGCTTATTGATCAATGTAACGGCTAACTTTTTTTTCAATACTAATGTAGACTCATTAATTCACTGTCAGGCCTTATTGAAAACAAAAATCTATTTTAACTCTTTATTCTTAATTTCTTACCACAGATATGCCTCAGTTACATGGTTATACTGATTTTCACAGTCTTATTGGCGATTCGCAATCACCAAAGTATTTTCAAACCTAATATGGATTACGAGGGCTGGCTTTAATTTTGGCTATGTCATCTTTCGATAATTTGTCAACCTTGGATCTCTTCCCCGTGCTCCTAAGTGTCCGAACAAATTCATTCACTTTCAATTTCTCCAATTTTTGGCAACTGGGGGTGCCCTTTTGGGCCTCCCAGTCCCAACCATTGAATATAAAAATGAACTAAAATTCTCGGTGTAAAAAAGATGTTTTATCTTGATCCCTTTAAGGAATTTCTTTTCTTTATTATTTTCATATTTTTGAATTATGGCCATCTTCAATAATTAATAAATCAATTTTTTTTAAACGATTTTACTTATTTCTCTGAGACAATTATCATTTTAATACATCCAAATTACGATGTATCTGTAACAGTCAAAAATTCAAACAATGCTACCTGCATAAATCCACTAATTAATTTAAAACGATCACCGTCATGATAGAGGCTAATGAACTAGAAGTTTTTAATTGGTACAGAAAACATAGATAAAAATTACTTAGAGACCGTTATTCCATTCTATGTCTGTAAAATATTGTTCTTAAAAATAATATTAGAGAAGATGTAGTGAAAAATCAAATCTAATACCAACTCAAGGGCAAATAAAAAAGGAAAAAGTGAAAGCCCAAATATAAAGTGAGATTAGAAAGTAAAATTTGATGAACCAATGGAATTGAAAAATTGAGAAACAATTTTGAAAAACTGTCCAGAGTAGTGCTCCTCTTGACATATTTTATAAACTATTCTTCGAGAATATGTAGAATAGCTAATCAATATATTATGCTTTTAAAAAAGTTCCAAATTATTTATATATTTCCCAAAATAATATTTCACAATTTCTTGGACTATTAAGTTGAGAAAATTCAGTTCTGATTGAAGATAGGTAATGGAACACAGCTGAGCAGATAGTGACTATCATCAGTAAAAAACGCCCCTATCAAACCCCAAAGTTTCAAAAATGGAACATAGTTAAAAATGCAGTTAAAAAAAAAACAATTTTATTTATTGTATTTAGATACTCTTTATCTGAATTTATCAAATTATTTGGTATATCCTTTCTTAATTGAGCGTTTAAAAATGGTTAACTAAATTAAATATGCTTTTTTGTATTTTACATCTCATAAAAAAATCAGAAAATTATTATTTCAGAATTTTGTTATTAAATGTTTGTTTAATTTTCTCGTACTTTTAACACATTTAATAAAAAAGTTTTAACAAATTCTTAAGTTTTTAAAGTTTATTTCCATAACTTATATGTCCTATCCTTTGTAAAATAATTCAAAATCATATTATCCAAACATATTAAATTTTAGATTTCTAGTAGTGAACCTATGAAATACATACCTTTTAATATTGAAATAGACTGTGGGAAGAAGACAAAATACGTCAAATGCAGCATGAAAAATCATATCATCGGTTAAAGGGCGGCGGCTCCAAAATTTTTGATCCCTACGATACAGACTTTTCATTTGATCTTTACGTGGATTAACTGGTCCACCATAAGTACTACATAAAGTATTTAATGAAATATTTTTGACCTTGTATACAGGCTTGCCTGCATCCTGTTGTTGCAAAACAGCATGTGCAGCCTATAACATAAATGAATTTTGTTAGAGCTGACATAAATTACTATTTGAAAATATGTATTTCTTTCTAATGTTTCTCCAAATTAACTACACTTTTAACTATATTGTAATGAAATAATCAACAAGGATTTTACTTATAACCATTCACTCCAATTAAACTTTCACTATTTGACATACACAATATTTAAAAATAAAATTCAGCTTCAAAAAATTTTTTGAATTTACCTAACACTGATTGTGGTGCGACATCAATTTGGGAATCAAAATTCCTGAAATCCAATTTTTTCTTCTTTTATTAAACAGTAAATTTCAGGAGGTTGTCAGGAAATGAAACAGTTTTTACAGTTAAATAAATAAAATATTAAAAAAATTGTCTGAAAAATAATGAAATTCTATTGTTTGATGCAAATTGCTCTTTTAAAAATAACATTTAATAACTATTAAGATTTTTGATAAAAAAAAAAAAATAAGATAACAGAAACATTTTTAGCATGAAAAAAAGTTTTGCACTATGCCTTGCTATTATATAAACACAATACAAACTATTTATTTTCATAAATTATTAATAGTCTCATGAGAAAAATCTTTTGTCATAATCAGGGTGTGATTTCAGTTTATTAAAATTAGCAGCAAAGTTTTCTAGTGCTAAAAAATACTAGTAGCAAAACTAAGGTTCATACTAGCATTTCTTATAGTGGTGTCACATTATATTTTACACAAAATGCAACAAAATCATTATTGTGTGACAAATTCAAACATAAAATAGTAATTGAATAGTTGATGTTAAATATTTATACTCATATAACTGTCAAATAACACTGTTTCATACTACTTTTATGTTACAATTATATGTTTCATATAAAAAGTTATGCATTAAATATGGCATATTAAAATTTTTAAAGAAATTTCATTATTCATGCAGTTTTCTTTTTTCAATCTCTTCAATCCTTAAAAGAGCATAAGACTTTAATTATGCTTCTCCACCCCACTAGATTTACAGCGAAGTGCTTCATTCTTTAGCAATATCTTTGATAACTCTTTCAAATATCTTAAAGCCAAGAGTCATCTTTGGCATCTCTTTTTTTCTGTTTACCATACCGAGTATACTCCAAAGCCTGTCTCACTTTAAATTTATGTTTAAAATTTTCAGAGACAATTGTATATAAATTTTTCAATTAGTTGGTCATAATAAAGCTATTGTATTACAGAATGAACAAATAGACATTATTTTAGCAGTGTGTGGCACAGTTCTGAAAGCCTTTCACCAGTCATAAACTATGCTTTCCAGTCTATAACTTTTCAAGTTACACCAAGAACTTTTCATAAGAATTCTTTTTCAAAGAAAGCTGAATTATCTACCTCATCAAAATTGCTACTTATTGGCAGAAAAAACAACAAGAGGAAACATCTGTTCAAAATGATATCATGTTTGATTACAGGATTGCAAAGAACATTATCAGAGATGGGTCAAGTATGGCATACTGATGTAAGGTACTGATTTACCTCACTCTTCAATATTCTTGAGTATGCATTAGATTATTAGAAACATGAAACATGCATTAGATTATTAGAAACATAGCACATACAAAGTTCCAATTTGTTTGTTTTTTTTTTAAAATTCAAAAAAATAATAATCTCAGGTGAATATCTTATTTTTGTTTGTAAAAGTTCCATACACAACTCCTTGACAATCATACTGCTTGTAAAAAAATTATTCTAGAATGCTCAAATAATTATTCATGGATGAAGAAATTGAAGAAATAGGTAACAAATATTTATACTGCATGTTTTGGGAAAGGTATCACTCACATATAAATTAATAGATTCTGAACTAATTTTTTTTTTAAATATTTACTTCCAGGCATTTAAAATATTCAAAAGTAAAGGGTGGCATGATTATTCTGGAGTTGACACTTTTCTTTCATCTGTCAGGAGTTAAATTCATGATTTTAGAATTATAAGCATTTTTTTTTTAAATTAACATTTGGTATTTTATTACTGTTTTTGGTACAAAAGTATTTTATCTGGTACAAAAGTATTTTATTACTGTTTTTGTTATTTTGAAACATATTATCTACTCTAAAAAATCAGTCATGTAAATAAATAACTGCTATTCTTTAGTGATCAAGAAAACATAAAAAGCTAAATATTCTGAATATAATGGTCAAATGGATTCTGGATAATTTGTTTTCAATAATCCTTATCCTAAGTAAGATGACATAATAAAAACCTCTTAAGTAAAATTACATAATACACACACAGAGTATAATTCGGTAGCAAGATAACGTAGTTTTTTAGCCTAAGTTATGATAAAAAAATTTCTAGAATGAAAAATATTAAAATTATATAAATTAGTAAAATTGTTCATCACTCTAAAAGTAAAATACATTCAAAAAAATGTTCAAGCTTAGAATTTAATTTTTATTTATTTTAATCTACCTTTTAAAAAAAATTATTATAAAAATCACTTATGATTATCACAAACAATTAGCAATATACAGGGTAACTGCTACATTTCAGATTTTTAAATCCATGACTTTTCATGACTAATTCCAAGAATTTTTCATGACTTAACGAAGTTAATATTTGCTCCGACAAAAACACAACAACAAATTTAAAAAAGCATTATAATAACATTAATTGAAATGATAGGTTTAACCAAAACTTTTATATTCTGCATCTTCTTATTTATAGATTTTAAATTTAAAAAACAGAGTAAAGAAAGAGTTGAAGCAATAAAATAGTTGGAAAAAAATACAAAAGCCAAAAGATTTTTTTTCTTTTTTTCTGCAGAATTATATTCTAAAGATACTTTTCTTGTTCATCGGGAAGGAAAGAAATACTCCAGATTTTTCTATTTTCATTTAGAAATATAAAAAAATTTGCTAATGACTGACTTACTTCAGCTAGAATTTTAAATTGATAAAATAAAAAATAAATAAATAAAATTTTGAAATCAAAGAAGTTTAAAAGATATTTCACTCTAGAAATGTTCTTTTTTTCATTTTTTGAAAGAACGCCATAATTTTTAAAGAATGAGATAAAAACATTTTATATTTTAATAAAATATGACTGTGAGTAGGGATTTTGTTACAAATTCAGATATTCGGAACACTGTGAAATTAGGGGAGGGATTCCATTTTAAAGTTTAAAGTTTTCAGCGACCTAAATCCATGACTTTCCATTAATTTTTTTTAAAAAATTGTTCAAATTATGACAAATTTTGTTCAGTATTGAAATCTATGACTTTCCATGATTTTTCAAGACTTTCTAGGTGTGTAGATACACTGAATATAATATGTAATAAAAACATACCTGTGTATCAAAAACGTTAGTCAATACTACTCCAAATTGATGATATAGAGCACCACTGTCATTTCTACAATCATGTGCCACCTGAAATACACAGAAATTAAAATAAAAACAATTTTGAAAATTCTGCATTTTAAATTAATTATGAATTTAAAATATTAGTGATAATCAAACAATAAAGACTTAGTTAATCAGATTGTACTAAATTCATTCACTATTCTACCTCAATTGCCCAATATTTAGCAAAATGAACATAATATATGTTTGAAATTTTAATAGTGTCCATGTTTAGTAAGTGATTCGCAACTTTAATGGTTTATTATATAGAGAGAATAGTAATTAATTTGTAGTAAAATTTTATCATGCTTTTTTTAAACAATTCCTTATTTGATTATTTTTTTTTGTTACAGTTACAATAATTTTAAGTATATATGTGTAGGTTTAGTATAATTTAAATATCTATCATAAATAATTAACCAAAACAGCACACTTCTTTTGATTATTGATGATGCCAGAATATATGAATAAAAAAAATTATCTCACAGCTAATACTAAGCGATGTTAAGATTTTTGCATTGTGATGCATTGCCACTTTAATAATGCAATATTTTGATACATAATTGTTTCCGATTTCATATTGACTAATTTTGCATTCTTGAAATTTTTAAGTGCTTAATTAATTGATATAAGCAATTAAATTTCTGTTAATAAACACAATCTAAGTTTTTTACTACTAAGTTTTTCCCTACTAAGTTTTTCTGGTATGATTAAAGGAGAAAAAAAAATTTAAATCGTGTCAAGAACTATCAACTGCCAAAATCTGACATAAAAAACTTGGGCAAATTCATTTTTATCATTGAGGACATTTTACTAAAAGTTAAATTGTGCACAATACTTGCATTATAACTACTACTATAATTATGACTTATATTACATACCATGTATAAAAAATATTACCAAAATTATTTAAACTATTACTAACTAGTTTTTCTAAAAACATGGTACTATTAATACTTAAAGACAGGGGTGATTGTGAGCCCAAGTCAAAATTCCGGAAAATTTCTTGAGTTACGCATACCTATACCATTTACACATACCTATGATGACCTGGAGAAGTAACTAAAATTTACAAATATGTCTTTCTTTTTTGAGTTTATGATTATAATAACTATTTACTGATAAAAAAAATAAACCGTTGAAAACTTGATTTCCAGAAATTTTGTGATCAATAATTTTTTGAAAAGTCTGGACCTTTGATTTCCTGATACTTCCGGATCACTGTTAGTGAAAAATCCGGAAATCCGAATTTTTCCGGAGCACAATCAGCCCTATAAAGATCAATATATAATTTGCTATAACTATTCAGTTTGTAGTGTATCTACCACTACAAAAATGTAATTCCAATTCACTAACATATAAGACATGCTAACTCGGTTCTATGGTGGGGTACCTTTTCATAGATGAAGGTTTACATTGTCGATATCTACTACTCTCCCCAAATTGGACCTTCGGACATGATGTGAACATGCCCACCATGACAGAAACTCCCACCTCAATATGAACATGCCTATCTTGACAGTAACACCCATTTCAATCAGAACACGCCTACTTCATTGAATGGTCCACATTGAACAGTTGACTTGCTACTTGTGACTGCGACATTATCCATCTCTTTGCGCTGTAGCTACTCAGTCTTGATCACACATAAAGTACAACGTATTCACTCGATGGCTAAAGGCAAACACAGAAGTGACCGTGAACTTAATACAGCTCTCAGGATCAGCACTTAAAAAGTATGGTGATCTTAATACAGCCCTCCTGGCTTCTCACAAAACAGCAGTGAATCAACTAGTGGTATCCGTTCATCAAATTCTATCACAGCTATAATTCTGGTGGGGGAGTACTGTAGTGTATCTACCACTACAAAATGTAATTCCAATTCACTAGTATATATAAAAAATGTTAACTGATTCTAAGGTGGGGTACCTTTTTATAGATGAAGATTGACATTGTCGATATCTACTCTCCCCACAAGTTTATATTACAGGTAATAACTGTGAGCTGTTAATTGTTATCAATCTAAATATTGATTTTAATTATTTTAAACCATAATTTAGGGATTTTTTAGATTAAGTACGATCAGGGTTGGCATTTCATCATTTTTTTTCTGGTCCCTGAAAGAAACGGGATGAAATGAGAGAAATTTAAAATTACCAATACAATTGTTTAGCAATAGGTATCAAAAGAATAGTTAACATTTAAACAAATCAAATTAATACAGTTAACAATACAATAAAGCCTTGATTTAGTGGACACTCTTGGGGCCGAAGAAAGTGCCTGCTAACAAGAATTGTCTGTTTGCAAGGAGTTAATTAAGAAGTTTAATGCCATAAATTGTTTTTGGAATAATTGTAATGAAATAAAAATAAGTAAATAATCTACAATAACTATTTACTTTGATATTTGTTGAAACTTTAAAAATTATAATATTTGCAATATAAAAAAAGAATAGATAATGAATTTTATGTATAAACATAATTTCAGATATAGCGCTAGAGAAATGAAAATGTTTCTCCAATTGACACAGATATTCAAGTTAGTCATATGATACTAAATAGACACTTTTAGACAAACATAATTTTCTAGGTCTCCAATTACTAGGTTTACTACCCCTAATACCTCCCCAACTCCCCATCACTTAAAAGGAAATATAACAATACCTCCTTGTAGGTAAACCTCCAGTGAAACATAAAGCAAAAGAAAGCAGCAATATCTACCAGCAAGGCACCACGCTCTAGGGCAGGGATGTGCAAACTTTTTTGGTAAACGCAAAAAATCAGGGAAGGGAATGTTTGGTAGGTTGAATAAAAGCTTCTAAAAAAATATATATACTAGTTTTAATTTAAATATTTAATGAGATGAATGAAATTAAGATTTTGTTTTTAAAAGTTTCAGATATTGTGGTTCGAAGAGAGATATACTTATTTTAAGGAGCAAGGCTAAATGCATGTCTGTTAGTCTACTTCTGAAATGATTTTTCTAAGGTTCATAGTTGAAAACACTTGCTCACATATATAAGATGAAGCAAACATAGCACTGATTTTCTGGACATGAGATATTAAATTTGGGAAACTAGCTTTTGGTAACGATTTGTAAAATTCAAAGTTCGGCATATTTAGAAACAACTGCTTCAGATGATTGTTAGATTGCAACTCAATTAATTCAAGCTGCAAATCCTACCTCACTGTTTCACAATTTATGTTGAAAGGAATGATAAAAAGATCTAATTCTGTTTGAATGGCACTGAAATCTTGAAATCTGCATTCAAACTCAAAATGAAGTTTTTTCAAACAATCTTCATAATTTCTGAAGCTTTTCCTTATTTACTGAGGGTATTGAATTTAACCTCGAGAAATGAGACAAGTCGTTCTCAGCCAGCTGCCCAGCAAACAGATTAAGCTTCAATTTAAAAGCTTTGAGATAGGCCCATTTATCATTGATTTTTCCCTTGCATCTCAACATTCAAGTTGTTCATATGACAAAGAAGATCTATAAAAAATGCAAAGTCTGAAAGCCATTCTGTATCTTCTAACATTTCGCACTCTGCTAAACACTGTTTCTCATGGAAGAATGACACAATGCTGTCTTTCAACTGCCGAACTCAACCTGCACTACACTCGAAAACACATCGTGCACTAAACCACCTTACTTTCGTATGATACAGTACATCAGAGTATTCAGATTGCACGAACTGAAGAAAATCTTGGAATTGCCTGTGAGTAAGCCCATGAGATCGAATAATATTAACAAGCTTTACTGCTGCATGAAGCATAGCTTTCATATTCAATGCTGATTTACACAGAACATCTTGATATATAACACAATGTAGAAAAATAACATTATTCCCTGGATAGTTTTGATTAAAGAGTCCAAGGAATCCAGATTTTTTTTCCTGTCATATTTAGTGAACCATCAGTCGTATAATTAAATATTTTTGTCATGGGCACTTTCAAAGTCAAAAGTCCTTCCTGAAAGTCACAAAAATATCCATTCCATTGTAGTTCCTTTTAAAGAATGCATGCACGCCAGTTCCTTGGTAATTTCAAAGTTTTCAACTACACCTCTTATAAATAACACTAATTAAGCAGTATCACTTATATCAGTGCTTTCATCCATAGCTATTGAGTAAAATTTAAATTGTACAATTTTTGACTCAGTGATTTAAAATTTTTATTGATGGCTTCGATTCTAGAAGTTACTGTTTTTCGCAATAAGCTTACAGTCTCAAAATTATTTTTTATGTCTGGACATAAAACATCACAAACTTGGAGCATACATTGTTTAACAAACTCTCCATCACCGAGAGATTTATTATTTTTAGCAATATTGTATGCTAAAATGTAACTTGCATGTGTAGCTGCTTCTTGGACACTGTTTATCTTCTTGAAAAAAGTTTGTCGGCCTGATAATTCTTCAACTTTCTGCATTTTGTCTTCTTTCACATTCAAACATTGCTTCGTAGTTGGCATTCTTGAGCTTGGCTGTAAAATGTTGGTTAATGTTATATTCTTTAAAAACTGCTACAGCTTCATTGCAGATAAGACACACTGGTTTATTTTTTACAACTGTAATAAAATATTTCCAAGTTCATTCATCATTGAACCCACAGCACTCTGAATCAACTTCGCATTTTTTAGTAGCCATTTTGCAGTTTAAAAACTCAAACAAGCACTAGCTATTTTATACATTTAACAATTTCACCATTATTTACAATAATATTATATGTGTGCAATCTTTCCATACGCAATAAATAATGTTAGAACTCGCGCCACCAGAAAAATCCACTCATTGGAGCTTAAAATCAACAGTCTGCCACTTGTGAAGTACAATTCACCTATACTAGATTCTGTATGTCTGCCCCTTGAGAAAGACAAACGCTAATTGGCGCCAATCTACGACTATTCTGTAAAGAACTTCTGCTTTCAACATTTTACCAATTGAAGCTGTTGGTGTTAGCAATTTCCATCAATTTATGTTTTGTAGAACGGAAATAGAGAAAGTAAAGAGGTCATCAGTACTTTGTAAAAAAAGAAAAAAAATTGCTCTAAACAAAGTAGACAAGAAAATGGATGTATGTTTATAGTTTATATTCGCCACATATCGTCAAGTTAAAATTCTATCCACAGGGCGGATAAAACCTTTAGCGGGCCGTAGTTTACCCATCTCTGTTCTATGGAGTTGTTGTATTCACAATCCATTATTTGTCAAGTGTCAGAATTAATGTTTGATTTATATGGACACCTCGATGACTAGATTTATGTTCTCTGTTTCTGTGTTTTTTTTAACCCAGCTATGTTACAAATAACCCCCTACGTTAAAATAATTTTTTTAGCCCTAATCAAAATTATTAACATTATTCAATTCTTAATATGATAATAACTACTTAAAACTAACTACTAACCAGGGTTGGGGTTTTGGACATCCTAAACTGGTTTTGGACAGGACACGTGGGTTTTACTGTCTTAAACTGGATAAAACTGTCCTAAACTGGGTAAAACTGTCCTAAACTGGATAAAACAGTCTTAAAGTGTCCAAAACCTTGAACTTTGGTAAAAGGTAAAAATTCTATAGGTGTAACCATTGTACACATAATAATTACATGTATCAATAAATATTTGATATTTTTTATACAATTTACTATAACTTATTAAAAGAAAATAATACAATATAATAGGAAAAGGTTTATAATTTTTGATGCTCCACAGTTCATTGAACAACAAAAGTGAATACCTAATCCTTTAAATATAAATATGCTTTTAATACTGAAAAATAATATTTTTGCATAAGGATAAATATGGCAATATTATAATTTTTCTTTTAAAAAAATACTAAATTTGTTCAAAAATTAACCTTTTATTTTTCACAATATTTTTTTAAAAAAATTTTCTAATTTCTGCATCATAGGATGATAAAAAAGACATCTATTTAAAAAAAAAANGAGACACCCAGTCTCTATTTAAAAAAAAAAAAAAAAAATTTAAACATAAATATATTAGCTTAAATAGAAAATACAAAATAACTAAAAATTGTAAAAAGGAAATTGAGGAAAGTTTTTTATATAGTATGAATAATAATGAGATAAAATATGGTGTTTCATTACGAACTTATATTAATTTTCACCAGAAAATCTCATATATTGAAATCATATTTAAATGCTAAAACAGAGCTCATTCTAGGCAGAAGTTTAAAAAAGGGCATTATTATTCTAAAAAGGCAATAATTTCTTTATATGGGCTATACACGTTCTATTAAAAAACATTGTCAATTAGTAAAAGAAATTTTTTTTTTACTTAACTAAAAGTAGCAAGGCAATCATATTAATTACTAATTTTTATTAATAAATTAACTTATATATCGAGTTAATGAGCTAATTAACTTAGTAATTTATTTAAAATGCATGCATATATTAATAAAATAATGTATGTTTTTAAGTGTCAGTAGTTATGATTTAATAATTAAAATGATTGATAATAATTATGATTTAATGATAGTGGAAGTTACTGCAAACTTTCAAAAACGAGTGCAACAAGGGGGGGTGATGGCTATTTTTCGCATGTATATGCGAAAAATAGCCATCGCATGTACATATATATGTGTATGTCAATAAAAACTATGTATTGACAGCAATGACAAACTAAATAAAAGAGTTGAAAATAACAAAAGTTTAAGGAATCCATTGTAGAGTTTGAGGAAAAAATAAGGAAGGGTTGAGGAAAGAAAGGGCAAAAAGGGTATGGAGTCTATTAAATCAGGGCACTAATTTACTTCAGGGGCAACAGGGTGGGTTCTTTTGGCTAAAAGGGCAGCAGGGTGCTGCGCCCTGTTTACCTTGCCTAGAATGAGCTCTGGAAAACCTTAAAACTACATTGACCCATCTATACAAAAATGTCTGGGCACACTTCTGAAATAATTCTAAAAACTATAAAATAAATTTAAAAAAAGTTGCTTAGAATGTTTAGTATTATGCAATTAGATAATTTTCCATAAAATTATAATTTGAATCAGACTTTTTGAATGTTATTAGATCAATTTTTTTTTACCTTCAATACATCATCAGATTCTAGAAGATCTTTCAAACCACCATCCTCAATCAACTGAGGACAAGAAAGAAGATCAAATAAAAATATATTTTCTTCTAAAGTAGCAAACTGTAAGAGAGTTATAGGACCTGAAGGTCCTAGATTTACTCCTTCACCATCAAAAGAAAATATTTTTTCTTTTTGTGACAAAATATATTTAACAATAGCATTACATTCTTTAGTTTTGGTTACTATTTTAACTCGTTTCATCATTTTAGTGATGATATTGTCAACTTGTTCTTTGTTTGCTGAAGAATTATATATCATACGATCTTTATAATCAAGTACAGAGTTATCAGCGACAGCCTTCATAATCTGATTTTTCAACCTCTGTTGAAAAGATTGAGGCTTGTCCTGATAGCGATTGCTGCCACTAGATGGAGAAGAGCAAACAGAAGAAACTACAGTACTTGACTGAGTATGGCTCTCCATAACAATAGATGAGTTAGTTTTTCGCTCAACAACAGAAACTACATTAGACTGAACATGAAAAACTTGTGAACTCATTTTTAAGAATGCCAAAAGGTCTTGTGGGTTATTTACCATCTTGGACCACATGTCTTTAGGAAACCATGCAGTGAGATGTGCAAATAGTTGACTAACTGGTAATGGACCTCTATGTTTCAAAACACTTTCAAAAAAATTTGTTAATTGGTTAGTTAATTGAGGGTCTAATTGTTCCTCTTCTGGAACTTTAGTAATTAATAAAGAAGTATCATTGTTCAAATTGTCTAAAACACTTTTTAAAACAACATAATCATCTTTAACTACAAAAACATCATTGTATTTTATTAAAAATTCCTTAAATTCTTTCCCGTGTTGGCCTGATATATGCCTTATTTCGGGTGTAGCCTGAGATCTATGCCCAAGTAAACTTTTGATCGGCACTTCAGCGTTTCCATATTGCTCTAACTTTGATCTAAAATATTCAACTGCTTCATGAGCATAATCACGTTTGTTTTTACCACAGGTCACATCACTTTCAGTTGCATAACAAGTAACACTTACTTGATCATCAAGAATAGTAAATAAAGAAGGATATTGAGATAAAAATTTACGTAATCCAGATTGACTTCCCCCAGCAATTTGTCTCATTTCTTTTGTAAATCCTTTCGTCCCAAATTGACATGATAAATCGTGTAATGTTCGGGGTTGACCCTTGTCAATTAACCGATCCAAAAAGAACATGAGAGTCATATTCCTAATGTGATCGTAGTCCTTGCTGTCCATGATTAATTACTGATGCAAAATTTTCTTTTGTTTTTGGCACATAATCGATTGTACATTCTGCGGGTGCAGCTTCGAGGCCGCAACTGAATGACATCACCATCAGAGAGCCATCTTGAATTACAAGATTTTCTGATCAGAATGTCAATAAATAAATAAAAAAAATCCGATTCAGATCAGCCACAAGTGTAGTTGATTCACCGCTAACGGAAATGAATAAAATTTATAGGCATGGCAACTGATGCCAATTTTTACAAGGCTATTCTCACTGTAAAGCGATCAAGACACGAAGCGACCTAATTGAGGCAACTGAGTAAGAAAATCCGTTTTTTGTCTCATTCCGGATCCCAACGCTCAAATTCGCTATCGGGGGAGAAGACAAACTTGTCCTCCCTCACTGAATCAGTGTATGAATCCAGTTTCAAAATATCAATGTAGAGAAATGCGCTTATTAAATTTATCCAAGTAAGGTTAAGTGTTAAAATTTAATGTTTGCTCTCTGAAAATATTAAAGTAACACGGTAACATCTAGCCAGCACTATGTACGCAAAAGACAATAAATCAGAACAATATTTAAAGAGGAATAAATTTCTTAGTGATAAACACTAAAAATAACAACCCGCTTTAATAATAAAATTTATTTAAATCTAAATTCATAAAATGCAGTAACTTTTGGGTTTAAACTAAATATAGAATTACACTTAATGCTGTAACTTCAAAATACAGCCTCTATACAACCTCTTATAATAAAGAACTGGAAGCAAAATTTTCCAACTGCAATTTTTGAAAAGAAACTAGCATGAAACTTTTCCACAGCTTCAATATTAACTTTTTCTCAGATTGTCATTAAAAAATTTTGGCTTAAACTTTTTCATGGTTTGTTTTAATCTTTATTTTTAATTTAATAGCAGTTAACTGATTTTGAATCAGAGCCTACTTCATTATGGAATATTAGCAGTTTTGTTCTAATACAACTATGTGCAAAATTACATAAAAATAATTACAACAACTTTACTTAAAAGGAAAGCTAAACTACATGAATAATAGTACTGAATTAAGTATTGAAAGAAGATGTTCTTAAAATATATCTAAATTGTAAATCAAAACCAGGTTTCAGTTTGAAAAAAAATTAATGCATAAAGCACAATGTAATTTTTTTAATACTCTAATATACTGTATTACATTTATTATTCGAATACAATTTTAAAAGATTTGCCAAATTTGCACCTGGCATGTAGTTACATGTTTATGTGTTATCATAATTTTATTTTTATTATACTAAATTACCGCGCAGTGTGCATTCTTGTTCTTGTTCATTTGCGTCGCACTAGAGCTGTACAATGGGCTATTGGCGACGGTCTGGGAAACATCCTTGAGGATGATCCGAAGACATGCCATCACAATTTTGATCCTGTCCAGAGGGGATGGGGCCCCGCTTCGGCAGCCTGACGACCTGCACGCGAGGTCGAGCACTTTACGGTAGAACAGTGTGCATTACTGTATAATCTTATAAATTTATATTCTACAATCGAAAATGCTGCAATCACTGAGATTTGACGGTAAACTTTCGACACAGTACGAGGACATTGTTCATCAGCAGAAACTTGCACACATAAATCGAAAAGTTCCGAAACGGCTGAATGAGTATGAAACACGAAGAGAAAGCAGAACGGCCGTCTACCACCTCCACTTCATGCCCCACACTCCCCAGTCGTTTGGAAGCTTCCGATCCACACCTGCTTATCTTCCTGTTCCAGAAAGATGTCCCCGTATTACATAGAAAGCATCCGTCGAATGCCAGATAATAGTAGCATTTTAGTGAAATAACTGATTCAAAATTTTTAAAAATGTTCACCATTCGTATTATACTTTAAAGTTACAGGAAGTTTTCGAATCTAATAAATTTTTTTTAAATTTTACACTTTATTGTGCTGAATACATTCTCGGAAATTTGGTTTATTTAAATGCAGTCTGTTCATGAATTTCGGCATTTTAATATCTATGTTAAGAACACATTAAAATTTGGTTACGTTTCCAATACATTTTATGAAATATAGATTAATATTAATTGTCCCGTAGTGGACAGATTGTTAGGACACGGTTCCCAGCAGATCACCGAGGTCAAGCATCACTGGCTGCGGTCAGTGTGCGGGTGGGTGACCACTTGGATCTGACTGTGTAGGGACCGAGCGTGTGCGGTTTTGGTCCTCGTTAAACTGTTCTACCGTAAAGTGCTCGATTTCGCGTGCAGGTCGTCGAGCTACCGAAGAGGGGGTGCCATCCCCTCTGCAAAGGATCAAAATTGTGATGGCATGTCTTCGGATCATCCTCAGGGATGTTTCCCAGACCGTCGCCAATAGCCCATTGTGCAGCTCTAGCGTGACGTAAAATGAACTACAACAACAACTACAATTAATATCAATTTGAGTACAAATTAAAGCATGAAGTCAGTTTAGCTTAAATTTGATAAAAATCCGCAAAATTTCGAGTTATACAATTTTAATCGTTAGTCTTTCCGTTACATTAGATGTCTAAGAAGATTATAAAATAAATGGACTTAAACATGATGTTAAGTCTATTTAAGCTGGTATAAATTCAAGTCTTTTTAATTTAAGTATTGGAATATTTAAGTTTTTATATAATAAGAAACAGTGTTGAATAGATTTATTGCCAATAGAGCAGTTCATTTTTTATTTATAAGAAGTTTGCCTCTGTCTGGAATGGGTCCCGCAGTGGACTGATCGTTAAGACACGGTTCCCAGCAGATCACCGAAGTCAAGCATCACTGGCTACGGTCAGTGTGCGGGTGGGTGACCACTTGGATCAGTCTGCGTAGGGACCGAGGGTGTGCGGTATTGGTCCTCGTTAAACTGTGCTACCGTAAAGTGCTCGACTTCGCGCGCAGGTCGTCGGGCTACCGAAGCGGGGGTGCCATCCCCTCCGCAGAGGATCAAAATTGTGATGGCATGTCTTCGGATCATCCTCCGGGATGTTTCCCAGACCGTCGCCAATAGCCCATTGTGCAGCTCTAGTGCGACGTAAATTAACAACAACAATAACAACTGTCTGGAATGGTGGTAGTTCTGTATTGGTGATCGAAATGGGCTGCAGGTGGCGAAGAGCAGAATTCTGTACCTATGGAAACACTTCACATGCTTTCCCCATTAGCGTGTGGAAAGTCATAGAGGAAGGAAGTGTGTTAGTTTCTCTCTTGATTTTCATGTAGATTAAAATCTTTTAAGTTGGAAAACTATATGGAACTGAAGACTACATTAAACATAGTTCCAAAGAAAAGTATCACGGAAATTTTAAAAATTATTTTTATTAAATAAAAAGGAAAAATATTAAGAAAAGGGAAAATATCGTAGTACATTCCTATACAACTGAAATGAGGAGGAGAGGGAAGGGCTAAAGGCATGAAACCGGTCTCTCCCCAGATGGCGTAATCGAGTGTTGCGATCGCCAATATTTCTTATCGGTAAGCATTCCACAAATTTGAGCATGCGTCAGGTCTACTTCGATTTCATCAAAGCATGAGTGAAGTGGGAAAAAAAAGTCGCTGTCTTTGATGTGAGCGCACGTGCATCCTTCAAGATGAACACAACCCTCATCCTCGATAACAATCGTCCTGGTGTAGTATATTCCCTTCGAAGACGAAAAGTATCTATTTTAAGAATTTGCTTTTACTGCATTCTAAAAACATAGCAATCTATGCAAATGAATCAATCAGAAGAGATCAAATTAAAAACATTTGGCTTCACTTTCTTAAATTAAAATACTATACTTTTTATTACCACATTTATTTCCCACAGCTTATTGGTCTTTCCCAATCTCATTTTTAGAGCATTATTCAGACATATATTTGCCTGTATCATATTAGGAACCTGATAGTATAGTAAAATTTAGGATATATTTAAAATTTTGTAATTGCTTAATACAGAGCCACTTTTAAAATTTTATTGCAAAAACTGAACATACTTATCAATGGAAAATCTGAAAACCTTTATTTTCTTTTATATTTGAACTAACTCTGATTGTTTCAGTATCCTCAGAATTCCGCGAGCATTCAAATGTGTTATAACAGAATTGTCACCTTTTGCTATAGGGGTAAAATTGTCACCTTTTGCTATAGGGGTTATTTCTTGAATTTAAGTTGGTGACTTCCTTTAAGTATTTTAGATATGGGCTTAGGATTGTAGAGTAGTTATGTGAAAAAAATTGGATAAAAATATACTGTAGAAATTTAACGGATTTCTGCATTTCGCAACAAATTAGAGAACTCACTTCTGCTGAAGTTGTCCTCATTAAGGAAGCATATTATTTTAAGAAAACATTACATTACAAAAAAATTTTTAAAAGTAGTAATTTAACAAATTTATTTCGAATGAAAGGAAACGTATAAGCATAAAAATTAAACTGAGCAAAAGTTAGGAATTACAGCTTTATTGTATTTAATAATTTCAGATTTCCCTCAAACTTAAAATATGAGTTGCAAAGTGGAAATTTTAAACAAAAAATTGCAGTTTATACTTTCGTTGTGCAGAATATTAAAGTACCAATTAATTTAATCCATACATTTGTAGACAAAAAAATACTTGATTTGTGATAACTGAAGTATGTAAGAAGAGTTCAGTTTGAAACTTGTTACGAATTTACAATATTAGACAAAATTCCGATGATAACGAATTTATATCTGGATAAAATTTAAAGCATATTTTAAGTAAGGGAGAAATGTTTAAACTAAGGTAATCGAAATTCTTTTGTCACTAACTGTTACTACTTAATCATATAATAATTATCTTTTAATCGAATTAAAATTGAACTATTTTTCAAGGTTTAAGTTAAGTTATGGATTTAATATTTTCAATGAACGTGAAATGACATATCTCATATTGAAAATTCCTGAAATACAATATTAAAAGTTGCTCCTTATTTTATAAACAGATCTTTGAATTTAAAATTTGGCTCAACTCGTTCAGATACATTTACTATATTGAATTTAAAATTTTAAATCTCTTGTATTATGTGTTGATAAATTAAAAGAACTAGCAGGTTTTAATTACGCAATTTTGCTTCGTTGGGAACTCGTTTGCTAAAAGTTCGATTAAAACTATTGAAAATAAATTAAAATAATTCTAAATTCTAAAGTAAAATCTGTAAGGGGTGAATTCTTTAATTTGTTAAAAAATCATTAATATTAACTACTAGAAAAGGAACTAGATTGTACACGGGAAAAAATAAAAAATTTAGTTACTATTGACTATAACATACTAAAATTTATAAATTTAATTATTATATTTCGAAGTAAGAATTAAATTTATGGAGAAAAGTTTATTTTCTGGAATTAAACACAAGATGAAATTCCCGGGCTATTTCATCCCATGTTTTATTCCATTTATAAAAAATTACTCGGATAAAAATTTCTCATAATCTAAGAGTTACCAAATATTCACATCTGAAGCCATATTACACTAGATTTATCAAGTTTTATATTAAAGCATTGAGTTATTCTAACAAACTACATCATTAGAATAAGTATTTCTTTCGCATTGGTTGATTTACATCTAAAAAGTACTTACTATAACACATAGCACTACTTACATAGAGTGCATACATCATTTTACATTAGAAGCAATAGCAACAAATAAAAACATTTCATAACATATATTCCACGCAAGGTAATAAATTTTGCTTTTTTCACATTCTGGGATCTACAAAAATATGAAATTTCTGGGAATCAGTATCAATTTTTAAGAGCCAAGCATGCTCGATTCTAGGCCAGCTGTAGTTTTTCAGACACAGTAGCGACCAGATGCTCGATATTTATTATAGTTGTAGACCACTGATATATTACTTTGCTAACACTCCTAAATACTTTTCGGTGTTTAGATTATTAGTATTAATGTTAGTGTTTAGTAAAAGCCAAAGTATTTAGTAGTGTAACATTGTTTCTGATACCAGTTTAAAATACCTTCATCAAAGCCATCTATTTACTGTAACAATTTGTTTTCCGAAGTACTGACATTCATTTTATTACTCACCGTTATGGAAGTTTCTTATCAAACTTCAATAAAATTTAATACCACGATATTGTATTGATGTTCACAAGCAATGCGAAAGAAATAAAATATTCCGAAGTAAAAAAAAATCATTTAGATTTCATGGATACCATATTGGAATAAATACTAAATCGTATACCTTTTCTGCCCAATTTTAAGAATTATTTACTAGTTTCTCAAATTTTAATTCCCTTCAAAATGGCAATATTAATTTCACTTTTTAAAATTCCTCTTAAACTTTTTTTTAAAATTTGGAATATTTGACTTTTGCTTATTTAGGAGAGACACTATTACATATTTCATTGAAACATTTTTTCCCACATATTAACTATTAATTCATTTTTAATTAAAAATGAATTAATTTTTTATTCACAAAATGTCAAATTAAAAATGAAACACTTGTCATTTTCTCTTAAAGTGATTGCAATATATAAGAATTATTGAATTTTGTATCAAAAAAATATTAAAAATGCTACTTTTACGAAATTCCTGTTTATTTCATTATATCTTGTTATGAAAGTATGCTTAAGCGAAAAGAAATTAATTTCCTCTCAGAACTCTGAAAGTTTTCCCCCCGAAATTAAGAAGGCAAATTACGCGGTCTAGAGTACCATATGCAATGTCTAATTTAATTATGGACTGATATAATGCAAATTATATTGACTGTTTTATTTATATTTATTTGTGTGCATGCATGCATCTGTAGAAACGAAGCAATAAGTTCGTTGAAAATGAATTTGGATGTAAAGCTTTAAAAATTCCATTGTTAAGAGTAACATGACGCTCAGTTCAAATAATGTAATTTTTTCTGTTATAAATTTAAATACAATCTAGTGCAACGTATACTTATTTATTGAATTGATGAATATTAACTTTGTTAGCAGGGAAGAATATTTAATGAATAAGATCATAGATTGTTTACTTCTATAAAGAGTGACAAATATAAAATCCAGTTTACCACTTAGGTGAACTGTATGTTTCGAGATTAAAAAATTGAAGGTATTTTTAGATTGTGTTGAAGGAATACAATCTAGAGTTTTCATAAACTTCAGTCAACACAAACAGTATTTAATCACTTCTTTTTTTAAAAAAATTAATTACAATGTCTAGATACGTTTTATTTTTGTCCAATATAATTCATATGCTTGCGATTTTCATAGATTCTTCGGAAATTAATTTTGTAGCAAATTTTTTGTGTAATAATGCTTAAACAGCTAAAATACGTTAATAATAATTAGCATGTGAAAACCTTCGCAGAATGATTTGTATATACTAATCTAACATAGTAAAGGATTTTTTCAAAGACTTGAAAATTTGCACCAACCCTTATAGTACTAAAAACTAATCAAGTATATTTTGAAAACTTCCTGAAATATTTGCTTTGATAGAAATTTTAATGGAAACCCAAAATCGTATGTTAACGCACATTAACGCATCTTCGAGGCCAGGTAATATTGATATCTATTTAAGCAAACAAGCTTTCACTTAATGATACTTGGAAAGTAAATGGAGATACTTGGAAAGTAAATGGAGAAATGGTCTATATATAGACTAATAAACTTATTTGTTAATGCTTGATTGTTTTAATTAAATTCATTTATCAGCTTTTAATTTAAATCATTTCTGGCATATAACAAAGTTTTAAATTCTATTACGATATTTAAACCTATACAACATCAGGTGATTATTCTGTAACAAAGCATTCAAAACTATCTCTAAAATGCGAGGTTTGGTATATCTATTTAATATTACTACTGATTATCCCTAGAATGTGGAATTTACATACAATTTGCAACATTGCTTTCAAAAGTAATTGTCAGTTCTCATAAAATCTATTGCAGTTTTGAAACATGCAGTAAATATTTTAGTTATCCTTAAAATTTGAAAACATTGAAGTTTTTTTTAAATGAAATTGTGAGGGACTAAAAGATTTTTGTGGTATAAAGCTACACATTTTATCAATCGCAAATATAAAATAAAATAATTGTAAATAATAAAATAATCATAAATATAATAAAATGTTTGTAAATAATCAAATAAATGTAAATAGAAAATTATAAAATTTTGACAAATGAAATGACCCTTATTAACCATTAGTTCGTTAAATCTGAAAACGCTGTGAACTCTGTGAAAGAGGTCACGGCCCCCTAGCGAAGGGAGCACGATTAAAAGATAAACAAAAGCCATTGATCACTTTCTTATGACTATCCATTCACAACATCACTTCTTAGGGGGAGGGTCCAAACCTTTGTTCGAGGACTGGGATTCCCTTCACCGCTCTCTTCGGGGGTTGTGAGTTTAGGATTTTGTTTTACTATCGGACTGGGGTATAGAATAGACTCGGAAGAATAGTGACGCCACCGTCCGAGTTCGAAGGCTGCGAGTTTAGATGTCAAGAGGAGGAGTGGGAAGATTGAGACATTGAACCGGTCTTCTCACTAGGTAGCGTATTAAAGCTTTGCAATTGCAAAATGGAGAGTTCTGTTTTGCGCCATCTGTAGCCCATTTCGATCGCCAATACTGATTTTGTTAGGATAAGTTTATGCTTTTTCAGGAAGCAGCTTCCACACATCCGAATGACAAACGAGCCCGAACAAAACAAACAATTCATCAATTGCTTTTAAGTTTTTGTTTGTCAAAGAATTTGATGAATCATACATCATACGGTCTAGCTTTAAATTTTAATGGCTTCTCGCCGTGCTGTCTTCCGAAATACTCCTGATAATTCAGAAGTAGACTCAGAAAATGAAAATCGGGAAAATGAGAATCGAGAACATTTTCAGGCGAGTCCTAAATTGACTAAATATCATGTTCTCGCGTTTATCCTTACTTTCGTCAGGTAAGGTATTAATTTTTATCTTGTCAAAACTATTGTTCATTGAAATTTTTTTTCTCTCCACTTTGCTATTCCTAATAACAGAAATTTTATTGTAGTCAGAAATTCCATTTTTAAAGAATATATATCAAATTTTTTTTCTAAATCTAATCTGGACATTAAATGTGAAAGTGTATCAGCTAAGTAATATTTGCATTTTAGTTGACATTGTATGTCAACATTGATCAGGGACAGTTTGAGGGAATATTTCTGTATATTTATCTGTTCGCACAAACTTCGATGGCCAAGGCATTAAAATAATTTGACACTTCCAAAATTTTGGTGGCTTTGAATTACACCCTATTAGAAGGTGCTCCTCTTTTTTTTTTAAATTTTTTTTTATTAGTTTTTTGCGGGCCACTTCCTAGAAATCACTAAAACTTGACTATTATTTTGGTCCAGGTACTGATGCTGAAATTGTTCCATTAGAAATTAAATCATCCAGGGCTGGGGGATAATTCTTGGTAAAATATCCATATTGGCACCTGCATCAAAGTAATCAAGTTTTTGGCTGTGGCTTATGAGAAACCATAAGAAACATCATGGAAGTGAACCAACTTGAAGGGTATAGCTTGTAGGCAATTCCGGGCATACCATTAGGTACATATTTTTTAAATTTTTTTTTAACAAGTTCAGAAACCTCTTTGGCAGCTATGTTTTAATTGGCATAAACAGATATTGTTTAATTTTCCCTTGATTCCTACAATTCCTATGGTAAAGGTTGAATGTCAAATGAAATATGTAACAGTTTCTTTGATAGAGCTTTTAATATTATATAATGTGCATCCACTAGGGCCGGATTTAAGTTTGGCGAGGCCCCAAGCTACTGAAAAAGATGGGGCCCTTATAAGTTCAATTCTATTTATATACACCTGAGGAAAACTGTAATTTTTTATTGTTGAGTATTAACATTAAATTATTAAAAAAATTTCTTTACATTACATTTTGCTTTGCTACTCAAAATCCATAGACTTAGAAACATGAAATTATGAAGGTGTGTGGAAAATATGCAAGGAGTTAGAAAGAAATACAAGAAAATACAATTTGATTATTAGTTTTATTCTTTTTATGACCACCGTTGAAACACTTGACTCAATTTTGAGTTTACAACTCCCCATGTTTAACTGCGTAGCCTTGTAATTTTGAACTCAATGCAGAAGACAAGTGAACTTCTGGATCAGTACCCAGAGGTATTGATTTGTTATGAGAACTTAGTGGACTTTGTGACCCAGACAGAATTAGCATGCACCAGTCACCATTTTATACATGGGTATTGTTTGGCCAGCTGGATTCGAACTCCCATTCTCATGAACATGAGTCCATAGTCCTCAACCAGGCTATTACAGCTAAATTATTCATTTATTTTATAACAGTCATTGAACAGCCCACCCAATTTCGAGTTTCGACTACTAATGTTCAACTCCGTAGCCTTGTAATTTTGAACCCAATCCAGCAAGTAAGAGAACCCCAGGATCAAGTATTTGATGAAATTTTTGCCTTCGTGGAGGACTTTTTGATGGAACCAACCCGCATTTGAGTTACATGGAGAGGAAAACCACGAAAGCCTCCGTCGGTTAGTCTGATAACAAGGGGGCTCTAACCCATAATCCGTCTACCACTGAGTATATTTTAGGTCAGCACTGTGGTCGGTGCAAGCCGAAAGTAGAATTCATAATCGACCAGCAGGCACTGGCATTCGAACTCGGTTCACCTCATTCGAAGGCAAATGCTCTATCCCTCGAGTTCATCTTCACTGACTAATAACTTTGTGGGGTGTTCCAATTTTATTGATTTGCTTAAATTTAGTCATCTTTAAAATGTAAATGGCAATCGTAATTTTTGTGTAAAAAAATGGAAATAGCCGTTTTTCCTCATATCTGCAATGATTAATGAAAAGCAACCACGAGGGTTAGTGAACAAAGTGAACAAGGGGCGGAGCCTTCTAGTTTTTTAAATAATTGTTAAATCATTAGTTTTACATGCATACTTTTAAAAAAAATAAGAAAAAAAATTTTCAGTATAAAGAAATAAAAAAAAAAAACTGTCATCAGCTGGAATAGAAGCCACGATCTCATAGTTTCGTGTTAGATTTCATAATCTTCAGCCCAAAATATGCACACCTGCCTTGCGATTTTTTTTTATAATTTTTTTTTAAAAATTTAATAAATTAAGTCATTTGAATACTTGACATTCTTGATTTTGTCGAAAATTTCTGGTTATGTTCTTGATGTAAAACTTTTAGACTCGTGTTTTTTTCCCCTTCAATTTTGCAAAAAAATAATTTTTTAAAAAAAATTGGAGGTGTCAAAATAGAAGGCTCTCTTAAATTTTGAGAAAAAATATCTGTTTGCATGCGACAATACAGTACCTTTTATGAAATGTGAATCATGGTACTGACCACACTGAGAAAAAAAAGTATGGTCAAAACTATTAAAATATAGTAAAATTTACAGTATTTATGGGAACACCAAAATACGGGATAGTTTTTTTCAATATTGATCTGGTTATGACTTCTCATGAAATTAACATAATAAAAATATAGTTTTTTGCCATGCTGTTCGGTAGTAAATGTGTTAACTTTTTTAATTTTATCATGATACCTTAGGAAAGTAGTTCCAAACTGTCTTATATGGAACTTAATGGTTTTAGAGCGAATTAGTACTTTTTACAACCGGGGATGAATACTTTTATAACTTCTAGATAGTTCTTTTATAATCTCTGATTATACAGTAGGGAACCGATTATCCGGAACGATCAGGACCATCACTATTCCGGATAAATGATTTTTCTGGTTTTCTGAATCGCTTCAAAAAGCCGTTTTTTTATTGTTAAACCCAACTAAAAAAAATTTTTTTTTGGAAATAATCTTAAAAAGAAGAAGAAACGATGAAGTAATACACTAATGATTATTTCCAAAATGATAGTAAGGTGAACATCTTTCAAAAAAGAAAGAAAAATCCTAAAATCTTTTTAGGAAAAGAATTTTTCTTTTAAAAACCGCAGGAAAATTTATCGAATTTCGTTCCTGTTTTTTGGTTTTCCGATTTCTGGATAGGGTTCTGTACTGTATTTTNCTTACAGGAAAGTGGTATCTTTTTGGAGGGGACACAACAGGGCGCATTTAATTATATCAGGGCAGGATAAAAGGAGTAAAGGGCAATAGGGCGGATATTTTATATCAAAAGGGCATACGGGGCGGGCCGCCCCGTAAACCCCGCTTAGAATGAACCCTGAATATATTTCTAAAAACAAAAAGTGTTGAATGTTGATCAAATTAGGAGAAAAATAAGCATTTATGAAATATTTCATTAATATTTTTTACCACACTTTTCAAATCAATATAAAATAACTAAATTCTTTTATAAAGAAAAATGATTTCTAAATTTTCATTTGTATAGCGTTCATAACTAGTCTCTTCAGTTCATTTAGAAATAAACTATAATTTGGCTTATCTTATTCATTTTCAGCTTTTGTATATACTCCAAAAATAAATTCAGAATTGAGTAGATATAGCACAAGGATTGCAAATTTAACTATCGGCTATAAAACCTTATTTAAGATTGTTAATGATAAAACAATGAAAATTCTTCATTTCTCTAATTAACTAATTAAATATTTTTAAAATAGTCTTTTTTTAGGTTATAACGTTCATAATTACCTTAATAAACTTTAATCGTAATATCGGTTTCCGCCATTATTTAGGGTTCTGTAGAGGGAAGCCTAAATAATAATTAGGAACCGTTGCCTTAGAGTATGGCATAATAATCACTAATTCGGTTCATTTTATTTTTGACTTTTGCATTTTTATTAAATGTGTGGTAATAAGAGCTATAATTTTAAAAACCTGAATTTTCGATAAACTGCTGCATTTTGAACAAAAAAATTACCAAATGAATGATTTAAATACCATATATTTTGGTTTTGTTACCAAAATTGTTTTTTTTTTCTTCTTTTTTGAGAGAAGTGCCGTAATTTTTTCTCTGTGAGTTATTTTGTGTTCTAAAACTTTCGCACTATTTATTTAGACAAATATATACTAAAAATGGCCTTTAGCATTGAATGTCAAATCCAATCATGGAAATAAGGCTATTTTTTCACACTTTGACTTCTACACTTATTTTAAATATTAATATTACCGATAAATTATTTTTATAAAATAATGCAATTAAACTAAGTATACCAAATTCATTTAGAAATAGTATAAGGAATAAGAAATTAATACCTTACTTTTTATTTACATAAAAAGTGTGTATAGCCAACAATTATTTTATATTTTTAAACACTTCGATTAGATTTTGAAAAGCATCCGAAAATGTAAAAAGAAAAAAAATTATAATGGGCTTCATAGGGCCCTATCTCCGAATAAAACTTTAAAAAACGAAGAAAAAAAGTGGGATCTGGGGGCCCTTGTCATCTCGGGGCCCCAAGCTACAGCTTAGTTAGCTTACACGTAAATCTGGCTGTGGCATCCACTATGTCTTACTTTCCATGGAATTGCCCATTAGATACTTCTAATATTAAATTTAATTTTTATATACTTTAATTAAATGAAGTCATGCATATTTTTTATTTTTTTATGTATAGCTACGCTCTTTTCCATGCTACTCGTAAGACTTTTAGTAATGTTAAAGTTACTGTAACATCTACCTGGACTCCTGAAAATGTATCACTTCCAAGAATATATGATGAGGTAAGTACTTCATGTTTAAGAATGATAATTTTAGATTGCTTTAATTCTTAAGTTATTGCTTGAATGTGTTTTTACTTCTCTTGTTTTACCTTGCTTTTTTGACCATAATTTCAAGATGACAACCATCTTTTCTCCTATTTTGAGAACCAATAATCCAAATCCATCTCAAAAAGTTATGGGTAATTTTCTTAAAATTTTAACTTTTGCCTAAGACAATTAGGAAAAATTCATCTCATAATTAACTTAATAAGTGATAATTCTCACATTGAGACTACACATTTAAGTAAATAAATCAATGACCAGCAAGGGAAAAACTTTAAAATAAAAATTTAGTGACAGTTTTAAATTGTAATTCATGGCAAGATATAATTACTGCCCCTTTATTTAAAACCACATGAAGATAGCATTAAATGTATTTTTTTTTGTATGAACCAATAATTACTAAGCAAATGAAGGAAAACGTTTTAAATAGTATTTATTTGAAAAGTTAATATTTTTTGAAGGAGCAGAGATATCTAAAATTTTGAAGAAACATTAAGAATTTTTGCTTTTTTATTGTAAAAACATCCTTGTATCACTTATTTTTTTATATTACCTCAAGTATGACCACATTTTGTTGGCAAACACATAGTAGTTTGAAACTGAAACTCTTGTTTGTGAATTTAAAACAGGTTTTAGTGTACTGGGACCATAATTATAAAGGCCATTAAAGGCAATAAATTGAAAGAAAAAAAAAATATATAATTTTTTCTGTTTAACAATATCTATTAAATTTTAAATTATTTTCTCTAAAATAATTAAAAATTTAATAGATATTGTTTGTTTCACATTTTAAAATATAATTCGTATATTTCAGGGTTGGCAGGTTTTTGACATGTGACAGTTTTTGACAGTTTAAACCATGGTTTAAACCGTCACGTCAAAAACCTCACTGTCAAAAATGTCGAAAATGTCAAAAACCTATATTCATATGTGAAATTTAATTAATACATAAAATTTATATATTTTTTATAAAGGATAGTGTTTCTAAATATGTTCTAGAAAAAAATAAATTTAAAATTTTGAAGAAACACTATTTTGAATAGTAACCAAGATCTTGTACTTTAGAAAACTCATATCTTTTGTAATATTATGTATTCATTTTCATGTGTTATTGAAAATCTGCAGTGATATTATTAAGAAATTTATTTATAACCAAATTTAGTGTATAGTATAGATTATGCTAAAAATTAGACATTATGTATTTAATTAGGATATATATTATTTGTATATACATTAAGATATACATTATTTGTATTCTTAATATGAGTGGAGAAAAAAAATTAAGAGATAAAAATTGTTTTAAAATGATAAGTGTAATAATTATAAATAAATATAATAAACAATATGAATTATATTTATCATTTTTCATAAATATAACTACTTTTAAATTCAAATTAACATACTGGATAATAAAGATACTCGGTATAACATTAAAAAATTTTTGTTATACACTTGTATCAAGTTTGTATTTATACAACATAACTTGTAAGTTCCTTATAAATATTAGTTATATGTCAAAAATGCATAGTAATAAACTTTTAATTTTCTTAAATATAATAAAAAAAAAATATTTTTTTTTTTTCAAAATATAAATATTTAAAAAATTTTTGTGCAAAATTTTCTGCACATGCATTTGAATATAAATTTCTGAGATTTTAAATCTGTTATTTTACCTTAATTTTAGTTAAAAAATATTTTAAAACCTGCTGATTACCTACAGTATAATTAAATTTTAATATAATGCATGGCAACTGTTGGTAGTTTTGAAGTTTATATATTTTCTTGGCGTACTTCAGTTTTTGACTGTTTAAACCAGTATTATACCCTTGTCATGTCAAAAACCACTTTTTGACGTCAAAAACCCAACCCTGGTATATTTAATCTAAACTGTTTAAAATTTGATAGAAATTGACTATAGTGGTACTTTTTAAATGACAAATAATTTTATTTTTGTTTATCTTGTGCGTTACAATCGCTAAAACTTTTCACCCAAACAGCCCGAGAAATGTTCGCTTACTTTTTATTCAAGTGGAAGTTTTATTCTTGATCTTATTATTACATATACGTGTATATTTAATTATTTTTCAATTAAGAAATGTCAGTAAATATTTGCAGATTTCTATCAGACATCAATATATATTTTTTAAAGTAACCTAATTCTTATTTATACTCACAATTTTTTTTAAATAAAAACTGGCGAAAAAAAAACAAACATCTAGACATTAATGCTGTTAAAATTATAACTTAACTTTTTGCACTCCGAGTGCATTAAAATATTATTATAATAATGTTAGCTTTAATTTATATAAAATATATAATCCAATATTGTTATATAGCAACTAATAACCATACAATAATGTAGCAAAATAATAAGATACAAACATTGTAAATTTCAAAGTGGTGACTTTTGAATGTTATCCCTTAGGTGTCAGTGGATATAGATGTATCCATATTTTATGAAAGTAAGTAATTACATTTTATGCAAATCAATCATTTTTACTAGCTTGCCATTTCATAGAAAAAGAAGTAGAGAGACAATAATCAACTATACACAGCATTTTTAAGCTTGTAATTTCTTAAAAAACCTTTAAAAAAATTGTACTGCAATTATATTGTACTATGCTCTGAGTGTTCTTCATAACCTGGAAGTTGTATTTTATTCATCTAGAGCCATTTATAGTATTTTATTGTACTTTTGTGCTTGGAATTACACAAAAGTTGGGGATACATGCAAAATGATGTGTAGAAGAAAATATATAAATTATTTTAAGAACATTGATCATATATATTGAAGTTGAACTATATTAGAATATGTATACATTTGTCTGCATAACACTTTCATAATATAGTAAATTGCTTAGGAAATTCAGAAATGTGTATTGAGGACATGAGACAACAATAACATTTTACTCATATTTTTTTATTTAAAGATATATTTTACCTATAAAATGTATTTGGTATATACAGTAGGGAACCGATTATCCGGAACGATCGGGACCATCACTATTTCGGATAACTGATTTTTCGGGTTTTCTGAATCGCTACAAAAAGCAGTTTTTTTTATTGTTAAACCCAACTTAAGAAAAAATATAAAATATTTGGAAAAAATCTTAAAAAGAAGAAATAACGATGAAATAATACACTAATGATTATTTCCAATATGATGGTAAGGTTAACATCTTTCAAAAAAGAAAGAAAAATCCTAAAATCTTATGAGGAAAAAAACATTTTTTTAAAAAAATGGCGGGAAAATGTATCGGTTTTGTTCTGGTTTTTTGGTTTTCCAGATAACTGGTAGGGAACTGATCCGGAACGATCGGGACCATCGCTATTCCGGATAACTGATTTTTCGGAAAGCCGTTTTTTTTATTGTTAAACTCAACTAAAAAAAAAATATTTGGAAATAATCTTAAAAAGAAGAAAAAACGATGAAGTAATACACTAATGATTATTTCCAAGATGATGGTAAGGTAAACATCTTTCAAAAGAGAAAGAAAAATCTTATGAGGAACAAACATTAAAAAAAAAAATGGTGGGAAAATCTATCGAATTTTGTTCCGGTTTTCTGATTTCCGGATAACGAGTTCTGTACTGTATACATAAATACAGTAGAGAACCGATTATCCAGAATGGTCCGGGCCATCACTATTCCGGATAACTGATTTTTCCGGCTTTCTGAATAGCTACCAAATGTTTTTTTTTTATTGTCAAACCCAAATAAAAAAAAATATTTTTAGAAATAATTTTAAGAAGAAGGAAAAACAATAAAGTAATACACATAAGTTTAATAAGATAAAAAGAAAGAAGAAAAATAATTAAATAAAAATACATACAGGCTTAATATAAAATGAGCAAAAAGGGTAAAATGGAAAAAAAAAGAAAGGGCGTTAGGGTTCAAAACCATCCACTCCATTTCTTACTTCATTATTAGCAAATGAAAATGGAAAAATGACAAGCATTTCTTTTCCTTTCTATGCACGAGAAAGACAATGTTTGAATATAATTCTGGATGGGAAAAAATTTTTTTTGGTAATTTCTGGAGAACCGATTATCCAGAATGGTCCGGGCCATCACTATTCCGGATAACTGATTTTTCCGGCTTTCTGAATAGCTACCAAATGTCGTTTTTTTTTATTGTCAAACCCAAATAAAAAAATTTTTTTTTAGAAATAAGTTTAAGAAGAAGGAAAAGCAATAAAGTAATACGCATAAGTTTAATAAGATAAAAAGAAAGAAGAAAAATAATTAAATAAAAATACATACAGGCTTAATATAAAATGAGCAAAAAAGGTAAAATGGAAAAAAAAAAGGGCGTTAGGATTCAAAACCATCCACTCCATTTCTTACTTCATTATTAGCAAATGAAAATGGAAAAATGACAAGCATTTCTTTTCCTTCCTATGCACGAGAAAGACAATGTTTGAATATAATTCTGGATGGGAAAAAATTTTTTTTTGGTAATTTCTGGAGAACCGATTATCTAGAATGGTCCGGGCCATCACTATTCCGGATAACTGATTTTTCCGGCTTTCTGAATAGCTACCAAATGTCGTTTTTTTTTTATTGTCAAACCCAAATAAAAAAGTATATTTTTAGAAATAATTTTAAGAAGAAGGAAAAACAATAAAGTAATACACATAAGTCTAATAAGATAAAAAGAAAGAAGAAAAATAATTAAATAAAAATACATACAGGCTTAATATAAAATGAGCAAAAAGGGTAAAATGGAAAAAAAAAGGGTGTTAGGATTCAAAACCATCCTCTCCATTTCTTACTTCATTATTCTCAAATGAGAAGAGAAAAGTCACGATCGTTTCTTTTCCCTCCTATGCGCGAGAGAGACATCGTTTGAATATAATTCTTGATAGAAAAAAGAAGGAATCCTTCGAAAATTTCTGGACAAAAGAAAAACACAATTTTTTATTTCATTATTCTTTATTATTCTCAAATGAGAAGAGAAAAATCGCGAGCATTTCTTTCCCTTCCGATGCGCGAGAATAATATTCCATCGTTTGAATATAATTCTGGATGAAAAAAAAAATCTTTTGAAAATTTCTGTGGAAAAGAAATTTAAAATCTTTTACTTCCCAAAGGAAAAATCTTTCTGCAAAAAACTCTCTAACATTCTGCGACAATATCGCCATGATTCTGGCACACATTTACTATCTAGAAGAGTTTAACTTGGGTCTCAACATTTTGCTAAATCATTAATCGAAATCAGAAGGAAAAACACATCTATCACAATCTTATTCCTCATTAAGCTGAGTGATTTTATTTCTCCTCCACACCAATTAAACATAAAGTGGCAAGCAGACACAGAAGCTGACATAATAAAAAGAATTTATGTTCTACCACATTCTGCCCCCTCCTAACACCCCATTCAAAATGAATGGATTGAAAAATGGGTGCAGTTGCAATTCTTGACCTTCAGTCATTATTCCCCTTTCTTTGGCTGTCACTATCTTTCAAGGGGGAATAGCAGAAATGGCAGATAATTTTTAAAAAAAATAAGAAAAAGTAGGAAATAACAAGAAAAAAAGGGGTACCCAGATAATCAGAAAAATAGGAGTTCTGCAGTCCTTGTAGAGAGTACTTAAAGAGATTTCTAAGAATCAAAAAAGAGAAATAAAATTATTTGTTTTAACTCTCCAGTACTAAGCAATCAACAGACATGATGACTCTTACTGTGAGAAGCTGGTAGTAATGACTCCCTCTGGTTAAGGGCCAGATGATAAGGAAACAGGTGTTCAATGAGTCACCCTTTCTTACTAAGCTATGATTGAAAGGAAACAACTATGTAGGGGGTGAGGAAGGGAATGATTGATGTTTAGTACAGGGCTCTTACTTCTCTTGACAGTGTAAGGAACTAATGATTATTTCTAAAATGATGGTAAAGTAAATATCTTTTAAAAAGGAAAGAAAAATCCTAAAATCTTATGAAGATAAAAAAGAAGTCCTGCAGTGGAATGATCCTTAAGACATGGTTCCCAGTAGAACACGAAAGTCCAGCATCACTAGCTGCCGTCAGTGTGCGGGTGGGTGGCCACTTGGATCAGTCTATGAAGGGATCGAGGGTGTGCGGTATTAGTCCTCGTTAAACTGTTCTTGCGTAAAGTGCTCAACTTCGTGTGCAGTTCGTCGGGCTACCGAAGTGGTGCCATCCCCTCCGCAGAGGATCAAAATTGTGATGGCCTGTCTTCGGATCATCCTTAGGGACGTTTCCCAGACCTTCGCCTATAGCCCATTGTGCAGCTCTAGTGCAACGTAAATAAAACTACAACAACTATGAAGGAAAAAATTTTTTTAAGAAAAGAAATGGCGGGAATATTTATCGAATTTCGTTCTGGTTTTTTGATTTCTGGATAAGAGGTTCTATACTGTGTGTATTTATATATATATATATATATATTTACTCTTAGTGAGGATTTTAAGCAACAAATGCCATTAAATTATCAAAATCAATATTTTATTGGGAAATATTGCTTAAGGAAGCAAAAGTTTACAAATTGAGATAACCCTTATGTTCAGCCAGAGAAAGTGTGTTTTGTGTCAGATTTATTTTCTTAAAATATTATCTGCATTAGTTAATTAACATTAAGGTTGAACCCTCAAGCCACTAAGATTGTATCTCAGTGTCTGAAAATCAAAAGTGACTAGATCAAAAGTTGTAAAGGTGTTCCTTTTTTTGTGCTTTGTGAAATTTTTTATTATTATACATGGAATTCACTCATCTACAGTTGTTGTTGCCTCCCACTTCTACTTGTAATTGGAAATTTACTGCATCCATGAATTTTAATTTTCTTAAACTTGTTCACTTTTCTAAAAAAAAAAATAAAAAAATGTACTTTTATCTACCTATTTATAATTTGAGAATTTTTCTTTCACAGAAATGGAATGGACATCATTTATTTGATAATTCTGTTGATGCATCTTTTTTTCTTGGAGTTTTAGATACTGTATTCATGACTTCATATGCAATTGTAAGTACAATAATTATTGATGATTATACATTTTCTTACTTAGAAATTTTACTGTAATTTCAAATGTGAACCGTATATAATTTGTCACTCATAGAATAATGTGTATTTAATCAATTAATGAGTTATTTTTCAATGATTTCATATGAATAATTTATGGTCTACTTTCAAATTCTTAACTCCTTTAGAAGCACTATTATTCACAAAATCAGATTAGTACGAAATTTTTTACCCTCTACAAACTCAACTATTATATATGCGTGCTTTTTTTCTTTTTAATGAAGAAAAAGAGGCATTTATTAAACTTCAATGATTTCTGATAGGGGTGCCCATTCCTACTCAGGCTTATGAGGACATCCCCCCAAAACAGGAACAATCTACCTTTCTCCATTTTGGCAGACAACCAAATTACATGTTAAATTTTTATTTAAACAAAATTTTTTTTAGCTATATATGATCTATTTCAATTAAAGTCCTTGGTAGAAATATTTTGTAAAACATCATTTTCAGATGACAAAATTGGTATCATGAAGAAAATTGAAAAAAATAAGAGAAAGATTTCTAAGCATAACTGACATACAAAGTGATGTTGTGTTGTTTTCTTTAAGAATTATATCAATTTAAGGATAAGTTTGATTCAAGCCATCTAGTTCAAATTTAATGTAATTAAACAAAATGTAACTAAATATTTTTTAAAAAATTAATTTGATATGTACCAGGATTAGTTTGAAGAGTGTTGAAAGAAATTTTTATAATTTTTTTTAAATTATATATTTTCTTAATTATATATTTTTTTAATTATATATTTTCATACATTATGCATCTATTAATAATACTTTGAATATTAACCTTATCATAAGTAAAAAATATTTACAAAAATGATGAAATATTTCATCTCAATATGTTGTTTTTTTTAAAAAAAGTACATTTATTTAAAAAATATCTTTTTAAATAGTTATCATATCACAATTCAATAAGTGTTAATCTTTAAAAATATTTAAAAATTTTTAAAGCTCATATAAGTGTATGCAATAATATTAAAATATATGAAATGTGAAAAAATCCTATCCATAAACTTTAAACTAAACCTTGTATCTCTTGTAACCTGTAAAAACCGAAATCTGTCTGTATGTATGTTCGCTAATAACTCAAGAATGGGAACATTGATTTGGATTATGCTTTTTTCTATAGTTTGCAAATTATCATGGGATGGTTTGTAAACAATCTCCTCTTTCAGACATTATGTAGTTTGGATGCAATATAAAAAATGTTAAAGTTCACTACTGAAACTGATTCTTACAGATTAAACTTTCTTTCTTTTAAACGACTTTCTTTCTTTTACAGATTGGCAAGACGTTTTTCATTACAGTTAGCTAATGTTTTTCGTAATTTTTTTTTTATTTTATCATTTTACGTTTTTTTCCATCCTTCTACATGGATTAGTAGAGAAGTGTTCCCATTATTTTGTCCAACCCCGGTATGTAGCTATGTATTTCTTAAACGCAGATAGAAATTTTTTTTTTGTCCAATCCTGATCATTCCCAATTTTATAACACATTTAATTTTATTTCAATTCAATTATTGCTATTTAAAAATGTGTTTTGATTACAAAATTATTAATAAATAGGTTTTTCTTTTGTTTCTTTTTCTGATTGTTCATTTTTGTTATTAAAAATAACTTACGAAATATGCAGTGCACATTTGTATTTGGAGCAACTGTACTTGAGAATTTACATTAGTAGCCACATTAATCAACATGCAGTGTTGCTAAGTTTTATATAATCTCATAATGTTTTGCTTAGCACTGTCTCATGTGTGTAAAAAAAATCCTTTTATTTGTGACATAAAATATTTCACCAAATTCCCAAAAGCCAGTAAACTTAGTCACACTCAAAAAATAAAATCAAAACTTACTCTAAATTACTAAAGATTTAGAATTTTATGCACCTCAGGTGCTTGATCTCATTGTTAATGAAATTTCAATTTATTTATTTATTCTTTTTAATAACTCTTCTTGATTTTACATTTATCTTTAATGTTGAAGCAGCAGCATTTAAGGCAGAAATTTTATTGATGTTTGCCTAATATATGTTGGTATTCAAATATCTAGAAAATATAAATTTATCAAATTATTTTTTAATAATGGACAATAGTACCATTTTTTTGAGTTCTCTGAGCAAGTGTATTCATCTGTGCTGACACACTAAATAACAAAAAGTTCTGTGTTTTGTCACTGATGATGGTATTTACCTATTACTATTATTATAATTGTACTCTTTCCTATTGTAAAAATAATTTATCAGCTTGTTTATTTATGCCTATTATGTTGTTCCTGCCTTATTTTCATACAGAAAAACTCCCCTTTTTTTAGATTATTCACATATAATTCGGATCATAATATTTTATTTACATAAATTATAATTTTATTTATGATTATAAAACTGCTATATTGCTTGATTTATAGGGACTCTTTATTAGTGGTGCCATTGGTGATAGATTGAATTTAAAATATGTTCTTGGATTTGGTATGTGCTCGTCTTCAATAAGTGTATGTATATACTTTGTAATAATATCTTTCATATAAATTATGCCACTAATATATCAATTATACAATTAAATTTTGTATAATTTTTATTAATTTTTAATGAGAGAAAAAAAATAAGTATTTTTCAAGAAAAACAATTAAAACATCCTGATTAGTGTTTTTCTGTTACATGTATAGAAGAGTATGTGTAAAACATATTTCAGGGAAAGAATTAAAAATAAAACAGTATTTTTTTGCTTCTCTTTTTTTTAAGTGTCAACAAGAATTTTGTATTTTTAGAAATTTCTTTTTATTATGAAATCAATGCTTTATGAAAGTTCAATTTTTAGGTTTTCATGTTTGGAGTTGTTAGTGAATGGCTACATTTGTACAGCAAAATATGGTATGTTTTTTTTTGGATGCTAACTGGTTTCTTACAATCAACTGGTTGGCCCACTGTAGTAGCAGTTATTGGCAACTTTTTTGGAAAATCTAGGTAAAGGGTTATTTATTCTTGAACAATTTTGTATGTAATAGAATGACATTTTGAATTTTATAATCACAGTAGAATCCAGATTATCCAAAGCCAGATCATACGATCCTTTGGTTACGTGATGCTTCTTTTGACACCTGTTAAAAGTGTCCCAATGCAGGTTTCATCATTATTCCAGTTAATGTTACCCAAATACTGATTCAGTTTTGGATCTTGTGTTATTGAACCATACATTTAATTCAGTTCAGTTCAGTCCAATTAATGTTGTGATAAAGATTCCAAAATTTGACTTCTAGAAAATGACAATTGAGATGTTTAAGCTGGCATCACTTTACTTACCTGCCTACTGAAAATGTATCAATGATCAATTAGTTGCTAACCAATTGGAATATGTTTAATTTAAACTTGAAATTGTGAAAACAACTAAATTCCATTAACAACCATGATATTCCGGTATTTGAATGATTGATAATACTCAAGTTATATTGTAAAGACAATGGCTGAATATCTCTAATAAACAGAAAACAAAAAATCATCAATTTTTTTCATGATATTGTATCATTACTAAAAATAGAAAAGTAAAACACAAATGAGGGATTTTATTAAACTTTATTTTACTCCCTAATTGATTTGAGTAGTTTTTCTCATAGTTAAATGTTTATATACTCTCAATTTTGAGTTTTTGTTGCATATATGACTCGTGGTGACAGATAATTGAGATTCTACTGTATAGTTAACTCTTCACTCCTCCTGAATATTTTTTTAAACACATTTTTTTGCTCATTATTGTTATTAATATAATTGTGAAAAAAAATAATTTTTTACATGTTTTACATTTATGCAATTTTCCTAAATGTTTTCTTTTTATGCAATGAAACTTAAATCAGGTCTTAAAATCACTGAACTTGACCTAAAAAGGAATTTAGGTTTTTAATTTTCTGATTTTTTTTTTTAATATTTATTATTTTTTTTTAAATGCTCTCTTTCTGCATCGATATCTTTATAAAATTTTTTTTACAGTCAATTCATTATTTTTTGATTATTCTAAACCCCTTTAGTAATTCTGAACCCCCTCGTAAACAAATGTTATATATTGTAAAATTTTTCAGAAAAGTAAGCCATATTTTTTTTTTTTTACTTACCGAAAAGTTTTTTTTATTTTTGTTCATCTTAACATACAGAATAAAATAGTATAATATTGAATAGAAAATTTATATTTAAATTTCCCTATAGAAATAATGTAAGCGAAGCAGCTTTATGTAATATAAAAACACACACACACACATATATATCTGTTGCATATATATAAGTGATAGATGCTATTGATGATTTAATTTTAGAGTTTAAAAGTTAACTTAGAAAAAAAAGTTCTTTTAGAATAAACTAAGCCTCTCAAACAATCTCACCTCTCATTTTTAAAGTAAATTAATTTTTATGATGCATAATTAATTGTTAACTTGAATAAAAAACATAATTGTTTATTTATTTAAAATAGTTCATGATTGGTAAATTTGTTTTTATGCATAATTATATCAGTTGGGGTCATTTTTATTGACGGTAAACTTTTTCATTGATTCGGTTTTCGTAACGCCAACGTAAGTGGCATTTTCGCACTGTAAAAATACCACCGAGCAAAATTAAAATAACTTACGAAAAATCATGTACCTTCAATAACATTTTGAAGTAGCAATAGAAGTAACTTCTAAGAACTACCAACCTCCATTAATAACCATTTTACTTTGAAACAGAGAGTGGTCGCTCCTGAGCAGTTTCATTGCATATGTATATATATGTAGGATAATTTTTATCCCATTTTTTAAAAAGATGTGTTTTAGCGCTTTTTAAAATAATTAAAAACAATGTTTTTACTTAAAATACATTACTAGAAATCTGAAAGGAAGATAATAAGATAACTAGAAGTTAATCAAATGTTATAAAAAGTATTTTGTTTTGCTGAATCATAAAACAAGTAACTTAAATGAATGTATAAATTTTTTAATTAATAACTTAACAGCTATGTGTTTGCTAAATATTAATTGCTTAATTATCATTTTTTGCATTCAAACCAGCTTCTATAATATTGTTTGAGAATAACCAAATTTTTGCCATAAAACTTAACAGTCAATTAATTTGTATATTATTTTACTTCATAAACCCTTTTAAACTTGTAATACATTTTTCTAAAAAATTTTTTCTTAAATTACTGATAATTTTTGTGTAATTACAATTGTTTTATTCAATAGTCGTGGCTTTGTGATGGGTGTTTGGGGTGCATCTCCATCTGTTGGAAACATTGTTGGAACGTGTATGGTCAATATTGTTCTACATTATGGTTATCAAGTATGTATATAAGTTATCAAAAACTGTAGATATTATTAAATTGAAGAATTTTCTTCTTGTTTAATACTGATTATTGTTGCATAGTTGCTAATTTCTTCTTTTTCTCAAGATTTTTCTCAAATATAATTATGTGATATGATAATGTAATTAGTTTAAAATCTTTCTTTTATTTGTTTTGATAGAACAAATACAGAAAGAAAAAATCTTTTATTGAAAATTATAAAAATAATTTTATTTTAAAAAATAAGTAATTTTTTTCAAATTAAATTTGTTAATATAAAAGTAATCTACATATATAAAAATGAATGTAATATGTCTGTGTGTGTATATGTCCTTTATAGACTATCGCTTCAAGCACGAGGAAAGTCACTGTCAACATTAGAACATTCTACGATAAATCGTTCTATCAGGATGAGCAAAAAACCTAATGGAATTTTTGATTGGTTAAGCGTTAGCCACTTTTTTAAATTTAATGAATCAATTTTCACTTATTTTAAAGACACATCAGTGATAATTGCTAGCTTATAGTTTCGTCAAAAAATAGTTTATTGCACGTATTTAATTATTTTATATTCGCTTTGCCAGATGAATTCAATGAACATTACGCGGTAGCACACATGGTCTACGTCACAAAATTTGTACTTTGTCTGATACCACCTGCTTTTATTTTATTTATATTAATCCTTTTAAATGTGTTTCTAAATAATTACTTATTTAAAACTAACGGTTATGGAATACGAAATTTTTTATTTATTCAAAAGCAAAAATTAACACGTTGAATACCATGGAGGTTTTCGGTGACCTCAGTGAATTAAATGTGTCATGAATGATTGCAAAAATTAACTCTTTAGTTGTTAATAATATTTCATCAAAATATGCAACGCATACTGGAAAATCATTTTGGCCAGACAGGCAGGCCATGTAAAATTAGCGGGGCATCCAATGTTTTAATGGGAAAGTGATGCCAATTCGTTTAGGAGAAATATAAAAAAATTGGCACCAATGAGGCTTAATTACACCAATTATGCTTAATTAATTAGGGTAATATATGCATATTGAAATAAAAGAAATAAGCAATATACTAGAAAACAAAAGAAATGAAGTAAAGGTATTTATTTGTCTAGAACAACAGTAAGAAATCGTCATACTATCATTGATGACAATGATGCTTAATTAATGTTGGTAATATGTATTAATTGATATAAAAAAGTAACTTCTGAACTCAAAAGCGAAAATAAGTAGAAAAGATACTTATTTTTAGATACATGTTTTGGGTAACCATAAAAAAATCTCCATATTATTATTGATACTAAAGCTCAATTAATATTGATAATGTGTATTAATTGAAGTAAAATAAAATAAGCTATGTGCTCAAGAGTCAAGCTCATGGAAGAAAGATTAAAGGGAATTTTGTTTCAGAAAACCATAAAAAATTCCCATTCACAGATGATGCTTAATTCATATGTATCACTGACGGTAATATGTACTACTGGTATTATGGTAATTGGCAAATTGGTTCTGATAAGAATTCTACAACGGGTTTTCCGCAGTTTCAGAAAATATTTTTTCCTGTGGTATTAATATCCAGTGTATTGATATTTTAAAGAATTAGAAATAAAAGAAATTTTTTCCACCACTACTTATAAATATTTTAACAGTAAATTAAAAGTCAGATAGAGAAATGGTCAGGCTCCAAAATCCTAATGAAGTTGGTATGTATATTTAAAAAAAAAAATTTCGGCTTTAGTTGACTGTGCCACTGACAAATATGTATAAACTAAATGTTGAAGGGTTATACAATAAGTACCAAATATACTTATATAGGGATAAAATATTTTATTGATATATTTGGTGATTTTTAACACTGTAGCAAGCAGTTTTAATACCTATATTTTGGAATTAAGTGTTTAATTTAAGGGGAATTTTAACGATCATGAATCTACCATGAGCAATAGCATTAAGCCAAGAGATGTTAAATACATTTTATCTTTATTCAATACGAATTACGAACATCATGCTTTGCTTACTTCAATAACATAAAACCAGCGAAGATAACAACATACAATATTAAATTAAAAAATTGAAATTATTTTAGCTATGTTAATTGAAAAGAAACAGAAGAATTGAAAAGAAATAGAAGAAACAGGCTAGTGACATTTTCAGAGCAAAAGAAAATTTTTCGTTTGAACTATTTTATTACCAATTTATTAGAAAGTGAGACAAATATTTCTTTGTTTTTATTTATTTACCATGACCTAATTTGAAATAAAAATCATGCAAGCATTCTGAAAACTGATGTAATTAGTTACGTTAAAATTTAAGTGAAAGCAAGAACAGTTCTGTTACATTAAACATACCTGTATTTATGCAACCACTTTTTTTAAAAATTTCATTAATTCTGATTCATTAATTCCCCCCAAAAAATTCTTGTCTGGTTCTTCCAAGTTCTTTAATTGTGTCGGTGTATGATTTTCAGTTTAATTTCCTGATTTTGTAGTGTTTCTCAATACTGATTTATTGGTTTTTTAAATTTATTTTTAAATATTCCCTTGCGAAAAGCGGGTATTCAGCTGGTTCAAGTGTAATTAGAAGAAATGGCAAACATGTACCTCAACTATTTATATTTATGTTTATTAAATAACTTTATTTTTCTTATGCTTGTTTTTGCATAAAAAGTTAAGGTAAATAAACTTACGAATGCTAAATCTATCAAGTATTATTTTATAGCTATACCATTTTAGAATTAAAAAAAAATTTATTGCAAATAAAATTTGGTTTAGTTATAGTATTTATTTCCATGATTTTGTTGTATGGCATTCTCACTTAATATGTCCTAATTAGACTAAAGTTTATAACATTTAATTTATTAAAAAACAGTCTTTTTTTCAATTAAAAAACAATAAATGATATGTATTTAATTAATAAAAATTTCAGTAAATCATTTTTTTCATTCTGGTTGAAATTAATATTTTTCAGTTCTCTCAAATATTAGGTATAAAGAGATAAATCTAAATTTATATATTATTTGTGATATTTTACATAATAAATCAAAGGCATAGATCTTTGTTCAGAGTAATTCCATAAGCTATAAACAAGCCATTTTAAGTGCGGAGAAAAGAATAATATTTTCCAACAGAGTAGTTTTTTTCCATAGGAATAAAAGCTTCTTAATCTCATTTCTTAACATGCAAAGGTATTGGAACATTGAAGCTTGCATATATTTTATAACCCATACTTCAGTAATTTAACCCATACTACAGTATTATCCGGTTGATGGGCCGCGGCCTATATGTGTTTAAAAGTTGAACTGACACAATGTGCGACCTATGTACCGATGAGGTCTATAAGAAGAATTCAATTTTCCCCGAGCCACAAGAGATAATTTTTCGATCACATTGGATTTATTTAAAAACAGATGTGTACTGAATATTTTCGAAAATTACAAACCTATTTCATAATATTTGCTCTAAAAACGTTTTTCTTATTCTTTTCATTAAAATATAGTTTGATTAAAGAAGTTTTCGACTGACAAAAAACCGTATGACATCATCTGCAATTGGTGTTACAAATTCTGATTTGAAACTTAAGAATAATTGAACTAGTATGCCTTATTTTTAACTCTCTTCTTCTCATCTATAAATTCAGCTATAAATCATCAGCTGATTAAAAATTTCTGCTCCTTTGGCGAACCAATGCATTCAATATATAAGAAATAGGAATTGAAAAGTATGCTTCTGCATTAAATAAACACGGCTAATTAAAAGAAATCACGGGAGTATATAAATTCACACCGATCTGCCGTTGACTGATGTATGAACTGTCAAATTGCGACCGCAAAAAGAGAGACTAATTTTCGAAAGAAAGAAAAAAAATTTAAAAATAGAAAAAAAAATGTTCTTCAAAACAAATCCCACTTCTAAGTTTAAAGAAAATACCAAAAATAAAATGGAACAAGACTTTGAACTATTAATATATTTTAATCAAAACATTTGCTTTAGTCTCAGAAACTAAATTCATTCATTTGTCATTGAAATTCATAATTTATTTTTTTCTTCTTGAAAATAAGTATTCTTTTTATTTTATATTTTTTTTGTAAAAAATTTTTCATCTTGTTTACTTCAGCATTTCCTTTATCTACAAATCAAAAATGAACTTTTTAAATATTTCCTTATTTCTTATTAGCTGTAAACTTATTTATCACTGATATATATATATATAATAAATATTTGAAGCGTAAGATTTGGAGATGAAAGATTTCATCTTATTAGAAAAAAGTTTCCTTTTTAAATTCAGTGCAATCGTAGTTTCTTTCTTTCTTTATTAAGTTCTCTTACGAAGTAGTTATAAAATGATTTTTATCTATGTTTAACTGTTTTGGTTAAAAATTTAAATTTTTTAATGATAAACAATAAGAACTTTTATTTTCATAATTGGATATCCTTCTTTAGAGCCATGATTTTTTAATTATGAGAAAACATGTTCTTTTCAGAATTCATCTCTTCTTTTTTATGCAGCTAGAATAAACCCAGCTAAAAGAACAGTTTCATAATAAATCAAATTTTAGAAACAAAATGAAAAACAAAGGAAAAATTAAAATCTCCTGTTTACAACTAGTGATCAAAAGAACAATTTGTTTAACTTTCGGTATGTTTCGCTGTTATTCCAAACCCTTCCTCACACAGGTCATTGTGCTAACGATAGCAGTGGTTGAGAGGAGAAAGAAAGAAATATTTTATCTTTCCCTTCCAAATTTGAAACGTTTCACAGTCCGAAGAGAAGAGGGAAATGCTTCATTCTTATTTTTACTCACACTAAATTTATGTTGGGCTGTCGATGTCATAAATATTTTAAACGTCATGGAATCCTTCCACAAGTTTTATCCCTCCTATGACTACTGTTATCGTTAATTTTCTTTTTACCACTTTTCTTTTTAACCATTAATTTTCTTTACTGTAGGTCACTGAAGAATCTGCATTTCACAGGCTGCCGTTACATTTGACCGTTACTATTGTAACTAGTGAATGAAATAGTTATTCTTCCTTGTTGCACCTGGAATAAGGTGACCTAGCAATGGGAGGGGGGTCGCATGTATTTCAACATATTGCACGCTTTCTTCACATTCTTTTTCTTTAGCTCCTTTCCCCAGCTCTACAGAATATTATTAATACATTTCCTTCTCTTTCTTTTATCTTACTGCTACCCCTTCTTCCCCTTCTTGTTTTCAGAGCATGAACTTATGTGTATAAAACTTATATTTAGAAATTTGGATTTTTTGATGAAGTTAGCTATCGTATGTTCTTTTTAAGAGTATAGTACTTTAGTTTTAATATTGTACTTTTCTAGTACTTTAGAACTAACAAATGTCTTCACAACATCGTAACTTCAGCTTTTTAATTAAAAATTGTTGCTAACGCGGATCAAATTGGAAGAAGAACTGCTGCTCGAGATTTTGAGGTAAATGAAAAAAAAATGTGTTCATAGATGGTTAGCAAATAAAGAAATAATTTTGAATTTGGCCCAACAAAATTGTGGCAGAAGGTCTAGAGTAGTAAAATTTCCACAATTGGAAAGTGATTTAGCTAAATGGATTGAAGAACAATGAGACAAAGGACTCCCAGTATCGACAATAAAAATTCATCTACAGGCTAAAATAATTGCTAGCCAGCTGGGCATTCAGGGTTTTATAGGCTTCCCAAGTTGGTGCTATCGTTTCAAGAAAGGAAAAAAAATATCTTTAAGAACTAGGACCACTGCTGGGAAAGAACTTCTAGAAAATTGGAAGAAAAAAAAAAGACTTCTTCAAAAAAAGACTTAGTCAAAAAACTTGATGTGGAAAAAATTTCTCCCCCAGAAATTATAAACATGGTGTGTAGCGCTATTAAAAGTTGCTTATTTTCGACTTTCGTTTTTTAAAAGCCCTTATAGGTGCTTTTTTCATTGGGTGTTTTTAAAAAGTGCTTAGATTTTTTTTCTTTACCATGTCAATTTTTGCCACGCGTTAAGCAAACGCATGCTTTTCGCATTGTTCAATTCAACGTTTTAACAAGTAATTCAATCACAATCTATTTCGGCATCCCGTCGGTCCATAGCGTATGAAAGCGCCAATCATCTTACGTGTTCAGTGAAATTCTTGAAAGTCCACATTTGCGTCTGCTGAGCTTGGGGATTTGGTGAGATTCTTGCACTCCCATGTGCAACTCTGCTGCATTTTGCAAGATATTCTCAATTTCAGGCTTCATTTTCTACCATCTGATATCAAACTGAAAAACCTTTTTTTTATAATGGCTAATATAATCAAGAAAAGAGTTCTTAGTCAGAAACTGGTTATTTTATCATGCTCATGTAAAGTCTTTGAAAATTATTTTGCGTTTTGTCAATGCATATAATGCTTAAAAATATTTTTTTGAGTTTTTAAGAAGTACTTAAAAGTACTTATTTTTTGTTGAAAGATTTGGCTATGCACCCTGATAAACTTGGACAAAACACCCTTAACATTTGATTGCCCTGCTAGCAAAACTGTTGACAAAACAGAAACAATGAGTTTTCCAATAAGTACTACTGGGAAGGAGAAAACATCCATTACTTGTGTATTAGCTTCTACAGCAAATGCAGAAAAGATTGCAAATGGAGAAAAGATGAAAGAAAGCAAATGGAGATGATTATTTTTAAGAGAGAAACGTTACCGAAAGGCAATCCCACCCGGCATAATTGTGAAAGCGAACAAAAAAGGTTGGATGTGTAAAGAAATAATAATAGATTGGTTAGATATGGTGTGGAGGAGATGACCTGGTGCTTTTTTTAAAAGCAGAGGTTTGCTTCTAATGGACGGGATGATTTCTCACCTTCTGATCTGGGATTATTCCAAAAGGAGAATAGAAAAATTGGGAGCATTTCTTCCTCCTCTGATACATAAGAACGGCATCATTTGATTATAAATCTTCAGTAAAAGATACATCTTTCAAAAAATTCTACAGCAACGAAACCAAAATTTTTTGCTTATCCAAATTAAATATCTTTCTGCAAAAACTTTGTAATGCTCTTTGACAATGTCACTGGTTTGCCACAATTCTTCACACTGGGTATCCCATACAATTAAATATTTACTTAGAAGATGACGTATACTTCATTGACAATAATGCAACTATGCATAGTGCACAAAGTGTTGAATATTGGTTCGATGAGCATCAATCTGTGTTTCAATGCTTTCCTCCAAAGTCTGGGTCTTCACTTTATAGAAAATATTTGGGGCATGTTAATTAGGTTCAATCAACAGCAATTTTCTCCTCTGCCTAATTTGCAGGATCCTAAGACCTGCATAACCAATGCATGGTACTATCTAGATATAATTAGATGTACTTCCAGAAGCTTGTAGATTCAATGCATACATGAATTTGAGATGTTAATTGTACAAAAGGAAGTTGAATGAAATATGCAATGTGGCCGCTTTGAATTGTTTCTACTGTTACTGATTACCTTGATTTTCATTTGTCATTATTTAAAGTTAATGTTCTCATAGTAGAAATGTTTAGAAATATTGTAACAAGAAAAAAAAGGACTAAGTGTATTCAAGATAAAAGTTCAATTATTATGCATATGACAAATTCTCTCTGCTAGTTTATTGAATTCTGATTATTTCTTTTTTATGTGTTCACGAAATATTTCATCCTATGTAAATGTCATTTTATTTTTCTAGTATTCCTTCTTAATCACATCAAGTGTAACATTTGCCTTTGGAATTGTCATACTCTTCAGTCTTGTATCCTCTCCTCGTGATGTTGGTGAGTCACATTAATTTGCACTTTCTTTTTAAACATGTTTTTTTACAAAATAGTTGTTGCTCTTTTTTATTCATTAATGTTGAATGTGAAATTGTTGAAGGATATATATATATGTATATANGAGTTTTATTTTAATGATAACATTTAAAACAATTTTAAAAGTATATTTACAAAAATATAGGCTAAATACGGCGGAAACAATTCAGGTATATTATATATATATATATATAACGTCGTTGCCGAGTGGAAGGATTAAAACAGGTCTTAGGCAGTGAAGTAGGGTACAAAATTTATTTATTAATTATTAGACAGAGATCAGCTATAAAAGTGGTAACAAAATGTTGTGTCACAAATCAAAAGTCGATGATCATTAAGTTCCACTGGGTGTAGGTATCATTTATATAAACGAAAAGTTTGATGATTGAAAAATATATTTTTTGTTGAATATACTGGATGAATTATGAATTGCCATGAGTTGAAGAAGAATTTGTCTGATAAATTTCCAACTGCCCGTTTGAATGAGCTATTTCATATTTTTGATGTACCGTCTTCCGATTGATTTAATTTTAAATGCGATATTACATATCTTTGATGACTTATAACATCATTGCCAAGTGGAAGGATTAAAACAGGTCTTAGGCAAGAAAGGAGGGTACAAAATTTATTTATTAATTATTAGACAGAGATCAGCTATGAAAGTGGTCACAAAATGTTATGTTCTTCATTATATGTTAGGGAAAATCTTGCAAAGTAAATCCGTAAAATGTTTCAATTTAGGGAAAGGGGGAAATCTTAGTAATTGTAATTGGTTTATCAAATAGGTCATACAACTCCCACAAAGAGCAAAGGGGAAAAATATCTTACTTTTAATGAATGTATTCTTGAGCCAAAAATAGATTTAAGAACAGGATGTGGCTTTTTAAAAATGTGAGAAAGTGTTTCGATTGGAATAATAAATTAGGAATTGTTTTATAAGAAAGAAAAAACATAAAAAGATTAATAGAAGCTTTTTATGTTACATATATTTATAATGACATGTCTCTCTATAGATGTAAAAATCTCTCACCCATCTACTTATTTCTAGTTTTGTGTTTAAAGTTTAATACATACTTGTATCAGTTAGATTTTTGTGTATCTAAGGTCGTAAGTCAGTAATTATGTACTATAAGTTTTTATTTTTTATGCAACTTCATTACTCTCAACAAACATTCTGTAGTCACAATTTTTCATTGTAATTGTATATGTAAGAAAGAAAAAAAAATTGATGTCTTTTAACAAAATAACTTAAGTTTTTCGTTTTTGTTATCGTTTTTTTTCCAGGGTGGCCACCCACCTTATAACATCATTGCCAAAGAATCAATAGTAACCTGGAATTATCAGGGAAATTTTATGTACTGAAAAAAACCTGGAAAAATCATAGAAATTTGGACAGAAACCTGGAAAAATCAGAGATTTTTTAAAGAAAAGCTGGAATTTTTTTAATTTTACTAATTTAAATTATTTACTAATTTTCTTAATTAAAGTTATTTTACCAACTGTTATACCCACTTTTAGACGAAAATTTATTGCCAAACAGTCGAAATACCATCAACTTAGCAATACTTCGCCTGCATCAAAATTTGGTTCATTATAACCCTGTTAAACTCCCATGGTTTCTTAAAGAATAGAGAACCTTTCCAGGTCACCTCATTCCCATAAGGGGACCTGGCTAGCACTCTATCCCCTGAGTCAAAGATGATAAAATAACATTAAAAAATAATATTTTTAATAAAATACTTTATAATATTAACATTTTTCTTGTACCCAACCTAATCTTTATGAGGGAAAAAAGCGCATTGACTTGGAAATTTTAGGATTTTTACCTGGAAAAATCAGGAAAATTTGAAACCTGATTTGAGTTGCCACCCTGTTTTTCATATTTTCAAAATGCTTAATTTTTCAAAGTTATAAATTTTTTTAACAAAGTCAAAAATTTTCAGCACTTTATTATTTCTTTAATTAAGAATTTACTTACTTTTTGTTAGTTTTTAAAATGGGAAAATATGGAAGAGAGTTTCCATCTTATACAGCTCTATTTAGTGAAGTGGGGAAATGGTTTTTTTTATCTTGTAAGAATACAGTTTGGAGCATAACTTTCCAGGAGTGATTCTATAGAAATTATGATATTTAAGAGACATGATTTAAAAATACTTCTTTAAAAGTTCTATTATTAATAAAATCAATATACAGAGTTTTGACCATTATAAAACAGACATTGGTAATACACTTAACGTATATAATAATAAGATTTAAATTTATGCTAATAAAGGCAGAAAAAATATTGAAGCTATATTTTAAGAGGGCAAGAAAAATAAAATGTTTTTAAAAATATAGTATGCTATCTAAACTTAGCTAGGCTTAGAAGTTTTATTAAGTATTTTTTTAAATTAGCCCTCAGAAGGATTATTAATGATGAAAAGTAATCTACATAAATAAAATATAGACTGGGAAGCAGTAGTGATGACTACAAGGAGCACTCATACTTTTAAACTGATTTGAATGGGGAATTCTTTATTTTGTCTTAAAATTTACTATATTTTAACCAAATATTATGAATAATTAGTCATGCATATTGTGGGGATAGAAGTTATCGACGATGTCAACCTTCATCTATGAAAAGGTACCCCACCATAGGTATTGAGTTAACATGCCTTATATACTAGTGAATTGGAATTACATTTTTGTTGTGGTAAATCCCACCCATTTTTTTTGGGCAGGTGGGTGGGTAGACAGCCCTGAATAACACTGGCCGAATTGGCTGATTTAATATGTTTATGGGGCTGGGCTTATCATTCAATAAGTGGTGAACTGGCAAGCATTTAAGAAACCTCTGTTGAAAAGTGGCAAGAAAACAGGCTTACATCTTTGATTGACATCGGTGCTGCATTTTAATTACAACTGATGAAACTGGTTGCATTTTAATCTTTGTCCAGATTAGATATACACAGTAAAAGGTGAAGGCAAATTCATGGAGGTATTTATCAAGGGATAAACTGTTTTGATCTGTTCTATTGTTTATGGAAGCCAAAAACTGGCACTCCTTGATGTGGTACTGAAAACCCATGCTGCTAAAAGAGTTTTAAAGCTTATCCTGCAAGTTACAGATTTAATAAACAGTTTGTATGACGTAGGTCATTTTCATTGAATATTTAGATAAACTTACAAAAAAATTGCTATGTCATCTTGCTTATTGCAATGTTCAGATCACTAGAAACTGGATTTATAGAATGTTGAAATAAAGTTTTTTTTTGCATGCCACACTAGTAAATTACAACCATGTGTTTTAAGAATCATTGATTCCTTTACTGCCTTATAGAGCCTTCCTTTACAAGCCCTTGAGCCAATAGCTTGTATTTAGCTCAATTGAATTCTGGTGCAAACTTTAAAAAAATAAATAAATAAAAAATGTGATCTAAGCTTTAGAATTAGAACTTTCTGCTTATAAAATTTTTTAAAGACAGTATCAAAAATGATAGTTTAATAATAGTGCCAAATGAGAAAAATATTACCATTATTCAATTAGCATAATACTGAGCTTAATATTTATTTGAAATACTCATAATGTGATATCAATCTGATGGTTTGTGAATCACTGGTGATTTTAATTGTGGGGATGATAAAATCTATTAGTGATGATTTTAAATCCATTACCATCGTTTAATGAAGCAGCGAACGTGCTTCAGAGATTGCAGACTTTTTTTCTGAGGACATGAAGAGCAAGAAAAAGATTCTTAAAGAATGTTGGAATGTTTTATATTTAACAAATTATAAATAAACAAAATTGTCAATTTTTTATCACTAAAATAATATGAATGTTTCTTCTTTAATTAATTGAATTCCACAAATTTTCATGAAATTATCCATTTAGTTTATTCTGGGTTACTCTAAAATCATTATTAACCTGTTCATTATTACAGCAAAATCACCATTTATTTTCTTTTAAAGTATCACAAAAGTTCAATTTGCATATTTTATTTTTATTTTATGTTGCAATAAGTATATATTTAATTACAGGTCTCCCAGATCCCAATGACAATGGGCCAGATAAACAGCCTCTACTAAAATCTGACAGTACCTATGAAAAATTAAGTTATGAAAGGCCAAAAGCTGTGGGTCTTTGCAATGCTTGTTGCTTGCCAGGAGTTATAGCTGTATGCAAGTTATTTTTATTTTACCTGTTTCTTCTATTTTTAAATTTCCCTCCATTTTCATACTTGCCAAATCTATTTTTAAAGGGAAGTTTATATTTTACTACTTCCTCCCAATTTTTAATTTTTTATGCTCTTTTTTTTATCTTATCATAAAATATTTTTGCTTCACAAGCTGCTTCAACTATCAGGTCATCTGCTGTTCATGTGAAGTTAAAATTAGTTTAAAGAGCTATTACATATAAGTATTTTGAAGTCGTTTCATGATCTGCATGAGATCTCATTGCTAAGCAATAAATTCTTTGACACCATATCTTTTTTCTGAACAATACTTTACTATTAAAAAGTGCATTTAATACTCCATAACACTGTTCCTTCTTATAGTGTGAAAAAAAAACAAATTAATTTAAATTTTTTCTTAAAATTATTTACTGAGTTTAGTTATTTCTGCACAATTAACTTTTTTACTTTTCATTCAATAGTTATTAAATTAATTCAGTGATATCATTTTCCTTCTGTTTATCCTAGATGAAAAAAAGTATGCTTATGGTTTACCTATTTCTTCTATTAAGTGGTTTCTGATACTTAATTGATTTTATAACAGGTTTTTGAATTATTAAATGCTTTTACAAATGAATATCAAACCAAACAAAGCACGACAATGGGCTAAATTCTATATTTTGTTTACTGTCAAATAATAATGTTATTGAATACAATATAAAATGTATGAAACTTGTAGCACTTAAAGTTCAAGAAAGAGAAAGGGGTTTAATTGGAGATAAATTAGAGACTCTATAAGCCTTTTATACGTATGCGGTGCATGTGAAAAAAAGAAGAGAAAAAAAACATTAATGCATTATTTTTTTGGAAAGAAAAACAGAGTCTTTCATTTCTTCAGATGAACCCAAATTATATCATGAATATCCCATGATTTCTGGATATTGATAATAAAGAGAAGAAAAACCAAAATTATTTGTTTTGACATCCAAAATAGATTTATTGAAAACAGTCAAAAGTGTTAGTGAGCCACAAATATGACCATGAATAAAAAGCTTTCCTCAGCAACAGTTGAAGGTAGGTTCATTTCGTGCATGTTCAACTAGCCAGACAAAAATAGCAAAGAGTTTTGGTTGGTATTTACTGCAAAGAGCAAATATGTTGTGAAGGGGTTACATACTTAGGGAAAAATTTTATAAAATCAGTTTCAATTGGTGCGATTGTCACTTTGAAACTGATTGAATTATTTATTAGCATCAACAGTACGGTTAGTACTGACATATATTTCACAAGTTTTTCTCTGGCAACAAAGCTTTTGCCTGAAAAAAAGTGCTTGTTTAGAAATATTTCTTGAAATAAGAGAGAACTGCCTTAACCTATAAAAATACAAAGGAATAAAATTAAACTTTTTGCAACAACTGTCCTTTCTTAAGCTTTAAAACCAGAACAAACAAAAAAGTACTAATGCTAAATTCAAGCCATATATCTATAGCAGTGGAAAAAAGAGAAATAAATGTTAAAACCATAAATTTTATAGCATCTTAAAATTTCATATTTATATTAATTTAAAAACAAAGGTGGAGACATCTTTTGGCAGAATTAGAAATGCTCAAAATCCTGGTTGAAATTGTATCAAAATGGACTAGGTATACATTATATAGGGCAAGCATCATTGTAGTTGTCTGAACAAAGGCTTGTTTTCTTAAGTCATATAATAGATTAAATAAGAAAGAAATCAACACATTATGCTAATTAAACACTGATGTTCAACTTCCCTTCATTTATTCCAAGAACTTTTTTTTCAAAAAGATATATGTGTAGTATTAGTAACTCAATTTACTTCATTTTTGAAATTTATCTTTAAAATGCGAGACATTCATTGTCACAGCTATAAATTAATAGTCTAAATATCATAATTTAGGTCTGATTTTTACATTCAGAAAAATTAAGACAATAATAAACAGTGTATGGTCATTTTCAACTTATGGTGTTATTTAGAAATTGAAAAAAAAAAAAAAAAAACTTAGTTGTTAGAAAATATGTCTTTTTTAAAAATAATTAGACACTTGTAATTCTTCTATACTATGTAAGTCTTTTCTTACAATTCTTTTTATTTCATCATTTTTAGTTTTTGTTTTTTTGGCCAGATATAAAAAAAAAAAATTCTCTTTGGTTACCATAATCCCTGTTATTTTTCTACGTATTCTAAACAAAGATCTTATGTAACTTTCTCATATATCTATCCACACAACAAAAATTCATCATTTCACTGTCAATCACCAGTAGCTTAATAGTAATATGATGTTTTTATTTTGCAGTAAGTAATTTATTATTACAAATATTCCATCCTTTGGTCAATAACTCCATCATTTGGTCAATAACAATGTAAATATTTCTTGACAAATATTAGTTAATTTAATTAATGATAAGTAAAGAGAAAAAAAATAAAGGAAAACTGGTAAATAATGTAATCGATAGGCTAACAGCCATGACATTTAAGGAACAAAAATCCAATGTACTAAATAATTCTAAATAAATTTTAAAGTATTTGTTTTAGACTATATATTAATAAGCTAAATTATATAATATGTGGATAAATAAATATTTTATATAATAAATAAATAATTTTTATTCGACTAATTATGGTAACAGAAAGGACAATGCAAAGTATTTACCATAAAAAAGCTTTTTTTTTTCTGGTTAGGGGTGTTTAATTATTTTTTAAATACTATTTTTTTAATCGCTGTCATATATTTTTTGTTCTTAAAGGTGCTACCAATGCTCATATTATGAATAAAAATCAGATTAAGTTTCTAAAACATAAAAGAAAAAATATTTTTCATATGAACAATAAATGGCTCCAAATTATGAAAATTACTGGTATATGCTGTTAAATTATTAATCAAATGTAATGAAAACTAAAAAATATATTTAGTCCCTTGAGTATATAAAATGGCATTTTGCAGCATTGCCATATACTCAGTTCTTGAATGTACATATTACCAAATTACAAAAATTAATGAATAAAAAAATTTTTTTTTAAAACTTGGATCGAAATCGAAAGTAGCTGAAAACACAAAAATGAACTAGAATTGCTAATTTTAAAATTTTCTGTGCTTATTTTAAATATTGAAAAGAAGTTTTAAATATTTCAAACAGTAGAGTGACAATAATAGTACCAAATAAATAAAAATACCAGTTCGTAGGGGCACAAACAGAAAGTTTATAATAGGAAAGTACCCCCAGCTGCATACAATGACATTTTCTTGGATTGCTATGTAATTCTCAATCCTTATAATGTATTTTATCTCCCCACCAATTTTGCAACTGCTGTTCTAAGCTTTTTTTAACTTTGCTTCAAAATAGGCTGGAAAGTGCAAAAATAAATTCATCTGTTTTTATTTTTGAGTATTTAGATCTTACTTAGAACTTCATCTTCTGAAATGGTTTAGAAGCAAATATGATTGTTATGTTGTTTTACTTACTCAGAATTGACCAGGTAATAAATTAAATTTTTACTGGATACCTGGAACCATTCAATAAATAAATAAAAGTTTTCCAAGGTACCTGAAACAGGCCAGCTGAAATATCAGTTTTTTGTGTATTCAAAACCAATAAAATGTTTGAACCCTATGGGTTTCTAGTAAACAGAACTGTCTCATTTCTGTTAAATAAGTCTCAATAATGGAACACTTGTGCTATTCTATTTAATGAAATGGATGTTTTTATTCTATTTAAATTTTGATCTATTTGTTTTAGTATAAAGTGAAAAAATACATATTGAACCAAAATACACACATTAAAATTACATGTCATTGAACAAATACACTGCTTTCAAATTCAAAATAGGAAAATTGAAATAAATAAAAAAGATATTGTAATGATTCATTTAAGTAAATATTTTTGTAAAATATAACATTTCCTGTATTTGAAAGATTGCAAAAGATATTAAGACATTGTAGAAAAAGATTAAGAAATTATTGAAATATATGCGTATATTGTAGCAATATGCTTTTCTGTCTCAAAGTTAAAATAAAATATAACCATGTGGTTAAAATAAAATCTAAATTGTGTTAAATTTGAATTAACAATCCTTAATTTCTCCTGACTAAAACATAAACTTTTTTTCTATAACAAACAAAATTCAGTTGAATATTGTGTTTATGAAAATAAAATTAAAAAAATTATTTTGAAGTGAAAATTTTTTTTTCTTTCACCAAGACATAAATTCAATGTTTTGGTCACTCTGTGATGTAATCTAGTGGGTGAACTCATAGTTAGAAATAAAAGTAACACTCTTTATGCTACTAGTTAAACTCTACTAGTAGATTTGTTAGAATACTTTTGTTCCCACTCAAGATCTTTTTGTAATTTTGGTTTAGTAATTTTTTGAAAAGTTACTCTGGGAAACCTAATTTGTTATGTTTTTTAACCTTGCATTTAATTAATCAATTAGAAAGTAATTCTTTATTTGGTTTTTATTTTCAGTATTCTTTTGCATATGCTTGCTTAAAGTTTGTTAACTATTCCTTTTTCTTCTGGTTGCCATATTATTTGCAAATGGCTTATAAATGGAATGAAGACAAGGCTGATCTTCTCTCTATTTGGTATGATGTTGGTGGAATAATAGGTGAGGAATTTTAACTAACCGTACAATGCTGATAAAACGCCCCTCTAATTTTTACAAACATTTCTGTAATGTAGAGGAAAGGAGTTAAAATAAATGTTTCTGAAGAAACAATGCAAATTGTTACTTTAAGAACTATCAAATATATTTGATTGGATGTAGTTAAATATGAATCACAAAAAAATTAACAAAATAAAGTAAAAATAACTATAGCAAAAGGAAGTAAATATAAACTTTAATAAAATCTAGCTTACCTTTTGCAGCAATCCTTTATTTTTAAATCTTGTTGCTATTTTGGCACATGGAAGTAAATGAAAATATAAATATTCAGCAATAAAATAAAAAGTATGAATGATGTAATATTTCATAAAAAAAGTAAGTTATTAATTTCCACTAATCAGAATCTGAAAGTTCATCTAAGGAAATATCAGAGTTATCATCCAAAATGAGGTTAATGCACTCTTCATTCAGTTCATCTGTAATATTTTTTAGTGATCCAACATTAACTTCCACTAATCAGAAAGGAAAATGTCCATCTTTGCTTTCATCTAATGTGTTGGAAATGTTGAAATGAGTTAGAGATCATCTCTTCTGAGGTGGCCCCCTAAGCGGCCAATCCAAAACCAATTACATCTTGCCAAGTTAGCCTTTTTAAATTCTCGACTAGGGTCTTCTGCTTTTTTCTAATGAAGAGCCCCCCCCATTTTTTTTCTTAATGCACTATGAAAGGGTGTTATTCACGAAACATCTGCTGACTGCAAAAGGCTTGTGCATCCTGCAGAAAGTTTAAAGGTCTTATGGATTGGGGCCCAATCCAAGATAATTAATCTCTGAATGTCATCATCATTTGTACCCTAAATTCTCCATAGTTAATTTTTCATAAAATTACCCTCTATCCATCTGTTGACAGAGCAGGTAATCTTAACCTTGTGTGGTATTTATAGCTCTTTCAGCGCACAAAGTGTTATGCATCTTGTCAGTTCTTTTAGCATCTCAAATACAGGGAGTTTATGTCTGGATGAGATCACTTCTAGTGTGACCGCAAGTCTTCTCTTTTTGCACCCATTCTTATTTGAGCTCTTTCCAACTAAATCATTTGTTTAAGTGTAAGGTCCGTCAAACATCACCTTGGTTTGATCCATGTTTCTTATATTAGACAGCATATAACCATATTTTATTCTCAAAGAACGAATGGCTTGGATGAAGCCATTAGCAGTTTCAAAGTTATCTACTGGCTTTCATTCTTTCTCACATTGAAATGTATATATACGTAGATGATGCCCTGAAATCTGATTGTTTGAGTTGCTGCTATTTTCAAAGCTTCTTCAAGCATTCCATTGGATACAACAAGGCTATTCTGACTTTTTTTCTCTGAAAATTTGAAGAGGGTATCATCTTACTTGTCAGAGGTTTTCTGCGAGTGATCAATTTTTTTTGTTCTCCATTATTGTTAGCCAATATAACCTTTACTTTAGTAATCCACTCTCGTATTCTCTTTTTGTCAATGCGTAAATGCCTTGAAGTTTGCTGTATGATAGAACCATTTTCCATATGCCATCTGATGACTTGTAATTTTTTAACACTGGTCTACGAACTTATTTTAGGTATCATGCTTGTGGTGAATCTCAATAAAGACTGATTCTAATCTCTGTAAACTCACAAAATGTTTATCCTCCACCCTTTACTACTCTGATTTTCTTCCCCTATAGAGCAATTCTAAGAAATGTTCTCTTCCTTTTACACTATATCTCTTCCATTAAATTTCACCCCCTTTCTATTTGCATTTTTCTTCCCCCTTTATGACGTTTCTAAGAGTGATGCTCTCTCCTTTTTACTCAATCTTTCCCATTCAATTCTCTCATCTCTCACCCCACCTTAAAATTCTCCCCTTTCTTGCCGGTAAGCACATACCATTAACAGAAATTTGACCTACATGAAGCTGGGAGAAAATGCTGTGGACCACTTGTGTTCCGCTCTTTTCCCACCTTGACTTGACTAATACCTACACTTTTGTTAGCAATTTTCAAATCAGTTTCTGTAATTGATAGATCTTTTTTTTTTCTCCCACTCATTGCTTGTTTACAGTATAACATTAATCCTCTACCCTAAACATCAGGGTAACTATTTTTAAGAAAGGAATTCATGAAGAAATTGCCAGAAAAGCACTTCTAAATTATGTGGTAGGGAAAGGGATGGTTTTTTGGTACTGATGGACAATCAGTATTTCTATGAAACTACAGGGGGATGCTTTATTGAGTTGGGGCATTTTATCATTTTTTTAGTAGTTTTTAAATAGTTTACTCTTTTTTAGCTAATGAAACAATATTAAAACTGTTGACTCTCTGGATTGCAATAAAATTTTAGAGTACATTTTCCATATTAAATTTTTTTAAACTGTTTTGTTATTATTAATGGGCAAAATGTTTTGCACTTCCTTGCATTTAACTTATTTATGTAAATTTACATTTATAATATATTGTTTAACTTTGATTTTGTAAAATAATGCAAGGTTGGTCAAAATGAATGCCCTAATTTCATAGGTGCACTACGAAAAATTAATAAATGTATTAATTAAAAATGTGAGGTAATAGCATGCAGAGGTAATATTAGCAAGTTTTGAATGTAATCATGAATTTTGATATGCACACCTTTTGCTGTATGGCATACATCAAGTCTGAAATGTTAATCTTGCCAAACTTTGTGAAGCATGTCTATATTGATGCTTTCGATAGCAGATGTAATATAGGACTTTTAAATTAGTCAAGGTTGTTGGATCTGGAGGCACATATACACAAACTTTTATATGGTGACCAGGGGAGGAATGCATTGTCTGCTGTAGATATGCGACCAATCCACTATTGGGGTGGTTTGTAATTAAGAGTATTATCTTTCGTTTGTTTTTGTAGAAACATTGATGACAATTGGCCCTCCAGCATCATCTTTTGGAAACTATTTAAAAGTTGCTTATATTATCTCTGAATTTATGTATATTTTAAATAAAAAATTAATTTCACGTTGCATAATGTACCTTTGAAATCTAGTTTTTTTTTACTTACCTTTATCGCATATTCAAAGAAGATAAAAACAGGAATGATTTTTTTAATATTTTTTTAATCAGAAATATTCAGAAGTTCTCTATGATCAGTAAATGTTCAAAATTTAAACGACTATTGTGGCAAAAAAAGTAAGTAATGATAAGACATACAACTAATAATTTGGGAATATTTATTTCTGATCTGAAAAAATTAGTTTGTAACTTTTTGAAAAATGATTTTTTTTATATACAAGAAAAATATTTTTACGTGATTAAAAATCTTAAAAAGAAAAGAGCCATTTTAAATAAGTGGAAGTTGTGGTAGGATTGTTTCATAACATTCAGTTTAACTAATACATGAGAACTAGTAGTTGAAAGATTTGTCCAAATAAATTATTTTTTAAATTCAGTTAACAGATGAAAATAGATTTTGATATTATGTTTACCTTTTTTTTAAGCGTACATGTAATTTATGTTTTATAAACTCGCCCATACCTCTAACCTCCTAAAACCTGTTTTTCAGGAGGAATTGTCATAGGATACATTTCGGTAAGTAAGTTCTTTCTGATTCATTACAATACAAAAAATAAAAGATTTTCATTTGAAGACTAATTATCTTATTTCTTTAGGATAGATTAGAAAGTAGGGCACCTGTTGTTGGTTTGATGCTTTTCTTAGCACCTTTTTCTCTATACTTATATAGTGGTGAGTTTTTAAAGTTTTTTAAAAACATATTTTTTTCACTTTTCACTTCATCAATATTTTATCACTTGGAAAAATTAAGAAAATGTTCAAGTGAAATTATTACTTAACATTTAATCTATGCAAAATGTTGGGAGTTTTTACGAAAATAACTTAGATTTTATTTTTGTTTGACAATGTAATTATTGTTAATTTTATAATTCCCAAATATTTTAATGTGAAAACATTACACTTGGTTTATTGAAATCCCCTGTGGCAGAATTTTTATTCTAATATTATGGTTGGTGTTCTCACATTTTGTTAGGAGGAAAATGCACTAATTATTTCCTTCGCATTTTGTAAATAATCATCACAATAAAAAAATTATTAAAAATCAAGAAATCCGTAGCGGTAATTGCCAAAAAAAGGATCGACGACAAAATCACTTAAATCTGGTATCTCAAAAAAGAATCACTCAATTGCGTGTTTTGTTTCAAGATCAGGTTGTTTTTATAAATAATATCGTATAAAAAATATCAGATTTAATAACTAGGGAGAAAGCCAGTAAATACTCAAATGCAAATACTCAAAGTAAAAACTAAGTCCTTAAATGCATGATTCGTATTTTCCATATTGCTTCAAATTTATCAGAATATTTAAAAACCACGTTAAAATCAATATCAATAACTGCCGAAAATACAACTGAAACATTATATCGATTTATGATTCTATCAGTGTAAATTGAGCTTGCCAAAAAAAGTGATTATTTAAATGCATGATGCAAATGCAACTTTTAGTGTAAATTTTTGTTGAAAAGGAAACTAATTTTTCTTTACTTTAAAAAAAAAAACTTTCTGCAAGAACTCTGTAACGTTCTGCGACAATGTCGCTGTGTCACTGCGGTTCTGCCTTGGGGTTGAAATTTCTCCATATAATTAACATTTATAGTCTAACAATTTTTTTCATGTATTTTATTTTTGTTCCAATATCTATTTCTTACATTTTGTAATTGCATTAGTTTCTGATAATTGACAATACATGATTTTTTTAATTTTGCAATGTTGCAAAGTAAACTGTAAAGCGACCTTGCAGTTAAAACCTAAATATTTGCCTCAATCTAGTTCCACATCCAAATAAACTGTTTTTTATACTTGATTATAGCAAGAGATTTTCTTCCTATCACACAAACAAATTGAATTCCTTAAGTAATTGTACTAATTGAGCCTCTTTCCTACCTAGGAGAGTGAGGCAAATGTATACAAGGCAATGGAAACTGTGAAGAGACTGGCCATTATGTTTTATTTTATTTCAGTACATTTTCTTCATTCACTCTTTTTCAAAAAATGCTTTTTGTTATGCTTAACAAACATTACAACATTTTTGCACAGGAAAAAGTAATTGGAAAAAAAAAATGTAATGGGAGATAAAAGATTATTAGTTGGCATTGTAATGACTATTTTCTCAAGTAGTAATTTTTAGATTCTAAATATAGATTGTTTTTTAATTAATTTATAGTTAATTTAATTGTAGAAATCATTACAAGTTTTTAACATTCTCTAGAGGCTCCTGCTGATTATGTCACTAATGCTGCTATTATGACAGTGACTGGAACAATTATTGGTGGTGTTGCAAGTTTAATCAGTACTGCAGTTTCTGCAGATTTGGGTAGACATCCTGAATTATCTAACAGCAAAGAAGCTTTATCTACAGTTACTGGAATAATTGATGGGACAGGTAGCTTTGGTGCTGCTATAGGGCAGGTAAGTTTTTATTTTTTGTTTAATAACAATCAAATTTGATCATTCACTACAAATGGGCTATTTTCAAAGGAAACAAAAAGTATGTGAGAAATTTTTTGAAGTAAGATACTTAGAGAGGTATTCAATAAGAAAACATAGTTACACTTAATATTATAAAATACTAAATTATTACAGTTTTAAGTTTCTATCAAAGTGAGGGATCGTTTTAATTTTGAATGTGTTTAAAATAATTATTTTGATAAATTAATTAAGGAAAAACAAATATGCTTGCTCTGTTTTCACAAAACACTGGAGGATCATTTTTTTATAATATCAGCATACCTGCCAACTTTTAATTCCTTCAGTTATGATTTTTCCCAGTGGTATTAAAACGGAATTAAAATTTCAATTTTAAGCAGCAAAATACGTTGTAATTGAAAAAACTTGAGCTGAAAAAGTTGAGAGTAACGCATAATAATATATATGCATAAGTTTTTTAAAAATAGTGGTGATCAAAATCATTTAAAAATTAAGTTTATAAGAGAAAAAATAGTATATATTTACTACCACTTTAAATATAAAAATAAAATTTTACGTTAAATGTGTAAAAGTTGGCAGGTGTGTATATTCACCTTCTTAGGGCACTTAAACTTATTATTGCCTGTAGGCTCCGTGACATTGATCGTAATTTTTATCAATTTCCAATATTTCCTTAGGATACATATCATTTTCTTATTTCACAACTATCTGTTCCAAAAATTTCATGTTTAATGAAATGTATCTGAGCTTTTACATACAGTACTGATGAAATTATATTACATACAAACATCTAACCAAGCTTATAAAGAATATATATAAATTTTACCTTCTCTATTTTATGATAAAGGATTCATTAGCTTATATTTTGGTGTTTTGTACCAACAACAACTTTTGAGATAAACAAACAACAAAAGCTTTCACTCTAGTAGCCTAAACTTTTAAAGGTTTCTGTAAGTTGGTAAGTAAAGGCTCTGTAAGTCCAAAAATGATTTTTTTTTCTTACTGTAGATGATATTTTTTTTTAACCCAACAACTTCCTTACTTTACTTCTAAGTGTCTTTAAAAGGATTTTGACTTATATTTATTTGAAATTTTTCTGCACATGTACAGTCCACAAAAAAAAAAAAAGATATCACCCTGAATAACTTTCGTTCTAATGATCGGATTTTCACGAACTAAGTGTCAATCTTAATGGTTCCTGGGGGTGACCTCAAATATGCTAATTAATTAGTGCTAACTATTAATTAAGTTACG